TATGCCGGAAGACCCGTGCCTCTAAGCTGGCTAATGACTTGCCCTCTCCCTCAAATTACTGGTCCACTGGGTGTGGACGGGGAATACCATGCGTGAAATCACGTTGCCTAGAAGCATGGAGGCGTACCTTCAGACATACTTGGATCACTGTTTGGGTGTCGCTCCGACAGTAAAACAGAAAGACAATGTTGTGTCGAAGATCAGCCGGATAAAGAACTTCATAGTATACATGGCCCATGGTGTTAACCGCCTGTCAGACTGGCTGTTCCTAAGAAACATGAAGATGATCCGTGGCTGGAGCGAGTATATTGTAAAGCCGGGCCGGGCAGTCACAACATCAGAGTTCTTCCTGAAGAATGTGCACCAGTTCATGGGGTACATGTCTGAGTCAAAGCCCCGGGGGTGCAAGCTCACCCAGTCTGATATGACCCACATAATGAGAGAGGTGAAAGCCAACATGAAACACTTGAATAAGGCAGTCACTCTACATCAGTTTAAGGTGAAGAGGAACAAACTGGATCGTCTGCCGAGCCAGGCGGAGCTTCTCGCCGCCATGGCGGCCGCTGAGAAGCGCATCCCGGAGCTCCTCGACCTGATGGCCGGCACGCCGACCTCAACCACCCAGAAGCTTCTCTATGGCTATCTCACCCTCCATTGGAGCCTCCTGTATGGCCACCGTACGGGCGTGTACGCAAACATGAAAAACAGTGAGGTCTTAGAGGCAGCCATAAGGGGAACTGCTGAGGGCTACATCATCCATGTGCAGGATCACAAGACGGCCAAGACATATGGCGAAGCACAGCTGGCGCTTACAGTAGAGGAGTTTAGCTGGGTCATGCGGTGGATGGGGATTAAAGAGGCATTGCTGGGTCCTCAGAATGAATTCTTCCTTTTCACAAGGGGGAATCGGGCCTCCAGGAACCTGAACGCTCACTTGAAGAGGGCATGGGCTGATGCTGGGCTAGAAACAGCCGTCACCTTCACAATCCTGCGCACTGCCCTGGCTGACAATATCAAGCATCACCAAGATCCAGAAAGCCGGTCGATTCTCGCCAGGTTTATGTGTCACGACGTAACCACGGCGGACCGGTTCTACGCGAATGCGCCAGGTATAAAGGAGGCATTGAGAATCCGCTCCATGTTCAGGGCGTCATCAGATGCGGCAGCAGCTGCATCATCATCAGAAGGATGTCTACCGCTGTCAGATGGGGAGACCTCCGAAGAGGGCTGCTATAACAGTACTGCTCTATCATCTTCACCTGATGGGTCATTGGAGCGGCAGCAGCAGCGGAAGCGGAAGCGGGAGGGAAAGAGGCCAATGAAGTCGGGACCGGGGCTGGTTGACACTCCTGATGATGGGGCAGGGGCCGTGGACTCAACCTGTTTGCCCTGGTGCACCGTAAGAATTAGACGCCTAATTTGGTCCCCTGAATCCCGCTAAACATTGTGAATATGTATACCGTGTATATAATTATTATTATAATCCTGTGTATACATTTTGTAAATAGTACAATATCTCCAGGGCGCATAACTGCACTTTACAAGCCAGGAAAGGTGCCAGAATCCTGGGCATACATTTTGTTAATAGTGCAACACCTCCAGGGCGCATAACTGCACTTTAAAACGTAGGTTAAGAAATTTAGTAGTACTGTTATAGCAGCAGTAGTACGTGTAAATAGTTTATGTTTTAGGCTCTGTGTACTGTGGTTTTTGTTAAAATAAAATAAAAAATAAAAAAAAACAATAACCTTGATGGTTACCAGGGGCAGAAAAAGTGCCACTTTCCATCAGCACCGGGGAGGCACTCTCCTTGGTGCTGAACCCTGTGATGAGCGCTCAAGTGTTGGCGGAGGAGGTGTAAGCCAGAGGAGGGTGAACAAAGTTAAAGTGTTTGAACCTCCAGCCCAGAAGGGGGGGTGATGCCGTGAAGAAGGCCGAATATGGATGCTGATGGGCGGACACAGAAGCACCATAAAACCACCCCCTTGTAAGACCACCAGGGGCACGAGAATACCCTCCACAGAAGGGGGGGTGATGCCGTGAAGAAGGCCGAATATGGATGCTGATGGGCGGACACAGAAGCACCATAAAACCACCCCCTTGTAAGACCACCAGGGGCACGAGAATACCCTCCACAGAAGGGGGGGTGATGCCGTGAAGAAGGCCGAATATGGATGCTGATGGGCGGACACAGAAGCACCATAAAACCACCCCCTTGTAAGGTCACCAGGGGCACGAGAATACCCTCCAGCCCAGAAGGGGGGGTGATGCCGTGAAGAAGGCCGAATATGGATGCTGATGGGCGGACACAGAAGCACCATAAAACCACCCCCTTGTAAGGTCACCAGGGGCACGAGAATACCCTCCACAGAAGGGGGGGTGATGCCGTGAAGAAGGCCGAATATGGATGCTGATGGGCGGACACAGAAGCACCATAAACCACCCCCTTGTAAGGTCACCAGGGGCACGAGGTTCTGGTGGGTGTGAATACCTGTGTTTAGTCCGTGGGGGAGTGCTTAACTGTGGGGGCCCGGGGACTCAGGGTGTGCAAGGTTATGGAGGGTCCCACTGTTAGGGGCCCATGCTGGAGGTAATTAGTCCGTCCTTGGGGCTCTGTGAGCGGGCAAAAAGAGGTGATTTCCCCCTGGTCTCTGCTGGAGGTGCAGAGTCCCACTGTTAGGGGCCCATGCTGGAGGTAATTAGTCCGTCCTTCGGGGCTCTGTGAGCGGGCAATGAGAGGTGATTTTCCCGGTCTCCGCCCTGGAGGTGTGAAATAAACAGAGTCCCCCTGTTAGGGACTGGTGCTGGAGGTCTCTAGTCCGTCCTTCGGTGCTCTGTGAGCGGGCAGAGAGAGGTGATTTTCCCCTGGTCTCTGCTGGAGCTGTGAAAGAAACAGAGTCCCACTGTTATGGGGGACATGCTGGAGGTCTCGAGTCCGTCCTTCGGTGCTCTGTGAGCGGGCAGAGAGAGGTGATTTTCCCCTGGTCTCTGCTGGAGCTGTGAAAGAAACAGAGTCCCACTGTTATGGGGACATGCTGGAGGTCTCGAGTCCGTCCTTCGGTGCTCTGTGAGCGGGCAGAGAGAGGTGATTTTCCCCTGGTCTCTGCTGGAGCTGTGAAAGAAACAGAGTCCCACTGTTATGGGGACATGCTGGAGGTAATTAGTCCGTCCTTGGGGCTCTGTGAGGGGGCAGAGAGAGGTGATTTCCCCCCTGGTCTCTGCTGGAGGTGCAGAGTCCCACTGTTAGGGGCCCATGCTGGAGGTAATTAGTCCGTCCTTGGGGCTCTGTGAGCGGGCAGAGAGAGGTGATTTTCCCCTGGTCTCTGCTGGAGCTGTGAAAGAAACAGAGTCCCACTGTTATGGGGACATGCTGGAGGTAATTAGTCCGTCCTTGGGGCTCTGTGAGGGGGCAGAGAGAGGTGATTTCCCCCTGGTCTCTGCTGGAGGGTGCAGAGTCCCACTGTTAGGGGCCCATGCTGGAGGTAATTAGTCCGTCCTTGGGGCTCTGTGAGCGGGCAGAGAGAGGTGATTTTCCCCTGGTCTCTGCTGGAGCTGTGAAAGAAACAGAGTCCCACTGTTATGGGGACATGCTGGAGGTAATTAGTCCGTCCTTGGGGCTCTGTGAGGGGGCAGAGAGAGGTGATTTCCCCCTGGTCTCTGCTGGAGGTGCAGAGTCCCACTGTTAGGGGCCCATGCTGGAGGTAATTAGTCCGTCCTTCGGGGCTCTGTGAGCGGGCAATGAGAGGTGATTTTCCCGGTCTCCGCCCTGGAGGTGTGAAATAAACAGAGTCCCACTGTTAGGGACTGGTGCTGGAGGTCTCTAGTCCGTCCTTCGGGGCTCTGTGAGCGGGCAGAGAGAGGTGATTTCCCCCTGGTCTCTCCTGGAGGTGTGAAATAAACAGAGTGCTACATTTTGTAAATAGTGCAATATCTCCAGGGCGCATAACTGCACTTTACAAGCCAGAAATAATGTTTAAATGGTCGGGGAAAGTATTTTTAAATGTCTGGAAGAGAGTTTTAGACAGTCATTTTGCACGAAATCATTTAACATAGACGCTCTCCTGAAAATGCACAGAATATGTGCTTTTTCAGGAGACCGTCAATGTTAAATGATTTCGTGCAAAATGACTGGCTAAAACCCCAGAATAAGTGTTTGAAAGGCGGGGAAAAGTTGTTTAAAAGAGTCTGATACCTCCAGGGCGCATCACCAAAAATGTACAAGCCAGGGAAGATGCCTGAATCCCGGATACTTTAGGTCTGTCACTTAGGGTGACCGCACCACTCCGACGCTCCCGAGAGCGGACGTCCATTGTTTGTAAGGCACCTAAGAGGGAGTAGAATCAATCTTTTTATCGAACTCCCCCAAAGTAATCACGTTTCCCAAAATGCTGAACTTTTGCTTTGAATAGACTAAGTTAGCTCAGAAGATCAGGTATTTCGAAACTCTGCATTTCTAGGATTTCTCAATTTAAATCAAGAACATGTGAAACTTTCGGGAGAAATTGGGAAATACGGCAGTGGAGAAAAAAAGCTAACGCAGCATTTATCTTGGCAACTGATCACAATATTGCTTTGAAAACGCAGCAGTTATATTGTCAGGTCACATTTGCTCTCTGCTTTTAGAGGATTTTTGCAGCAGAAGCGTTAAAACTAAGATAAAGCAAGCTTAACCACACTAAGCTAAAATAAGCTGAGCTAACTATGCTAAGCTACAGAATTTCAGATTTCATCACTGGGAAAGTATATTCTTGGACTTGAGCAGTTACTTCCTTAGGTTTCTGGTGGTTGCCTGGAAACTGTTCCAACTGTTTACAATTGTTGGTGAAGCTTAGCTAACTTTCTCTTTTTTGCAGATGCATACTAAAAAATACAGGTGAAAGTTGTTTCAATGTTGTCATATGATTTTGCCAGTAACAAAAATGTATTTCCCAAAATGTGCGATTGTTCTTTAATACACAAATGGTTATAGATTTTTTTTTAACGGCGCACATCATTTGCAGAACATGTGAAGGTAGTCAACGGAAGCAATCGGTGTACTGGCAGAGTGGAAGTCTACCATGAAGGCAACTGGAAACGAGCATGCAAAAGTGACTGGGCGACGTTAGACGCTGTCGTGGTGTGCCGAGAGCTTAACTGTGGCACCCCTATCACTCAGACTGAAGAGCTACATTTTGGAGAGTCACGTGACCTGCATGGCATCAAACCCAACTGTTTAGGAAATGAGAGCTCTATCTCACTGTGCCGAATTCAGGAAAGCAAGGAAAGCTGTGTGGATGCTACTATCGTCTGTGAACGTTAGTAATTCCTGTGTTCAAGCTACATCAATAATTGTGTGTTAAACTTCACCTGTATAAATCTTACATTTTGGATGGCTTATGAATATACATACCCTTGATTTTTTTATTTTCCACCTGACAGACAGTACACCAATTCGACTGGTAAACGGCTCTTCTGATGGTCGGTGCTCTGGACGTGTGGAAGTCTACCACGATGGAAATTGGGGAACGATTTGTGATGACAAATGGGGGATGCAGGAAGCAGATGTGACATGTCGAGAGATGAATTGTGGGAATGCTATCTCTGTCAAGTACAAGTCTTTTTTCGGAAGAGGTCAGGATCAGGTTTTGTTGGACGATGTTGAGTGCACTGGTCATGAGAAGTCCCTTTCTGAATGCCCGCACAGAGGTTTTGGAGAACACGACTGTGACCACAATGAAGATGCTGGTGTTATATGCTCAGGTAACATTCTTTATTTGTTCTAATTAATAGTGGAAATTCAATTGCCAATCCTAAATATTGGCATTTGTGTGCAATGATAATGCATGCAATTTCTGGAAAGTATTAGTTGTTTTTTGTATGACAGTTTGCTGAAGTTTTGGCTATTTCTCTTTTTATAGTTGGCAGAGTCATTGCAGACATATTTGCATTTTTCATGAACTTTCTTAATAAAATACCTCTTCTTATCTGCTTTCAAGAATCGCTCAGATTGGCCAATGGGACTGACCGCTGCTCTGGCAGAGTGGAAGTCTTAGCCAATTTCCACTGGGGGAAAATTTGTAATAACTTGGCTAGCGAAGATGCTGCAGTGGTGTGTCAGGAACTAGGTTGTGGTGCTCCAAAAAAAATCCAAGAAAGCTTCAATTTTGGTGACAGCACACTCAGAGGGTATTCAAGTAGATGCTCTGGCCCTGTGGATTCCTTCTCCAAATGCAATATTCAAGATTACACCGGGACATGTGAAGCGTTTTCTCTTTCATGTGCAGGTAAGACACAAAAGGAAGGTACATTTGCACTGCAGCACTGTTCAACCATTATAGCAAAGGACAAGTGGTTAATTAAAAAACAGAATTGGCATACTGTATGTGCATTACACCTTATTATTGCTATTTACTGGTGAATATTCTAATGGTTGCAACTAACTAACTACCTTAATAACTACTAAACTGAAAGTTCAGACAAAGCTTAATATTTGGATTATTTCAGTCTAGCTTGTAAGTAATGTTAACATGAGTGGACATGTCCTCAGGTAATCCACCGCTAAGGCTTGTGAACGGCACTGATCGATGCTCTGGTAGAGTGGAGGTTCTTCATGATGGCGCGTGGGGAACTGTGTGTGATGATGAGTGGGACATCAAAGATGCTCAGGTGGTTTGCAGAGCCATGGACTGTGGAACACCTAAGACGGCCAAATCCTCTTCCTTCTTTGGTGCAGGCCAAGGAGACATTTGGCTGGATAATGTTAGATGTGTCGGTAATGAGACGTCGCTATTGCACTGCCGACATGCCCCCCGTGGAGAAAATAACTGTGGCCATATGGAAGATGCGGGTGTGGTGTGCTCAGGTATCATCTCGGTTATTTTATTGCTTTTTGCATGTTATTTATATTATTTCAATTTTCAATGTTCATTTGCTTGCTTTTAACTGTCACCCTTAACACAGGAAACATTGAATTATAGCCTGCAGTGAGCTCCTATGCAATATGTTATGGTTGTTATTGTTATTATGTTATTTATATAGTGATTTATATCTAAAATGCGCCACCAACAGTAAACAGAGTCACTCCGGTGACATCCCTTACCCCATTACATGAACATGCCTGCCAGCCTCTGAAAAGTGTTACTATTTCCATGAAGACACAGTTCCTAATATCAGTATTTTGCTGATTATTCTTGGTAATTTGACTTACATCAAAATGTTTTACTAAAGCAATTTCTGTCTGTCTCGGCTGCCTGTCCGTCTGTCTCTATGTCTCTTTGTTTTGAATTTCCTGACAACGTTTAATCCAGAAATGTTGATTGTGAAGTTGTTTAGAAGGGTATCTGGAGAATGCTACATACAATTTGAATGTCATGACAAACATGCTAAGAACATCAGTTGCTGATTCTCTGCTTTTTGCTTCCCAGCTACAATTAGACTGATCAATGGGACTGACCATTGCTCTGGCAGGGTTGAGTTCTACACTGGTGTCAAATGGGCAACACCATATAATGTTAACTGGGGAATAAATGAAGCAACAGTGGTGTGCAGAGAGATGAATTGCGGAGATCCTGACAAGCTTCCAGGATCATACGGTCATGGCGGACATCCTGGAGGGTATCAGGTCAGCTGTAACGGTAGAGAGAGTTCTCTCTCACAGTGCACACTGAGAGAACGTGGAAGAACAAGCCATGATCGCATTGAAGAGGCATCTGTAAAATGTTTAGGTAAGACTTGAAGTTTAATTGATATTTGAAGTGGTACATTTTTTTAAACAAGATTAGCATGAACCTTTTTTAGGCAATTATGGAAACAGCGTCTAAAAATGGCTTCAGGACTGCCGTGTAGCCCACGATCGTTTTCAACAAGCCCACAAAACACTGATTTCTAAAAAGAGTGGGGCATTTGCTGACTTTCTTTTATTTGTCAACACAAAAAGACAAGGCCAGATTGTCAGATGTCAAAGCAATGAGCCAAGCAAACTTGTATGTTACAAGCTCAATTGCTGAAATCACAGATGGTACCAAGCAATGACTAACAATGTTGCTCCCCGGGCTGGTTAACTGCACCTGTTTCAATTGGAATTGAAGCAATATTACACAATATGTTTTACTAATGATACCAATTAAACAACAGACATTTTCAGTCACTAGCATATGCCCCTGGAGACCACTAATGTAGCATAAATAAAAAACAACAGCAAAGTTGGAATGTACCTACTGTATATACATATACGTATATAACAACTGTCATTTCCAGGCAATGTGAGGTTGTCCAATGGGTCCAGTCGTTGTGCTGGAAGAGTGGAGTTTTACGACAACGGCCAGTGGGGCACTGTGTGTGGTGAATCCTGGGATGTGAATGATGCAAATGTGGCGTGCAGACAGCTTGACTGCGGGACAGCTCATAAGATTACCACAAAGACTGAGTATGGCCATGGCACAGGACATACCTGGATCAATCGAATCGAATGCAATGGATTGGAGTCAACACTGGGTCAGTGCTCACAAAGTCCTTTAAGAGACAGAACCTGCAACACTACCTCAGTTGCTGGTGTTGTCTGCACAGGTAAGAAAAAGCATATCTAAAACAAATGTTATGCATTCTATAATGTTTAGTTCAGTTCTATCACTCCTATTTTTTGTACAATTAAATGTAGGGCTTTTTCAGTTGGTTTTACAAAACTCTATTTACTAAATTGCCACATTCAATCTTATGCCCATTTCCATATAGTTAAATTGTGTTGTGTTCCAAATCTGAATGGTGTGCAATATAGGCAACAAGTGGTTTTTTTAAACTTTTAAAATGTACTGTAAAATAATTTCAGATTACCTCATATCACAGGAAGTTTGGAGGTCCGGTTGGCGAATGGTAAGGATGTGTGCTCTGGCAGAGTAGAGGTCCGTCATGGCGACATGTGGCAAACTGTGTGTGACACAGACTGGAACCTGAGTAAAGCTCAGGTGGTGTGTGAGCAGCTTGAATGCGGTGAGGCCAAGAACGCTCCAGGCGGTGCCCATTTTGGTGAAGGCAGTGGACCAGTAGTGGAGGCGAGCAATTCATGTTTTGACAATGTGACATCTCTTCGGCAATGCTCGGCCAAAGGTTACAGAGGAGCAAGCTGTGGGCACGGACATGACGCTGGCACTGTCTGTGCAGGTATGGCCTTTAAAATTACGTGTTGAACATTCTCACATGCTTTTGGGTAACAAATATAATAACAATAATAAAGGATGTGTAATCATTCCTTAAAGCAATAGATCAACTTTTTGGAAATACACTAATCAGCTTTATTGTCAAGAGTAGATGAGAAGATTGACACTCTCACCAGACACTAAGGGCGCCGTTTACACGAGGAGAAAACGGCTTGTATCTGCATAGTTTCGCGTGCGTATAGCCCTATTATTTAGACGAGGGCCGATAGAAACTGACCACACAGACGATAACGGGTCCCAAGGTGGATAGATTTGCAAACGAAACGCTCTGGGGGGTCAACCCGAGTCCGTTTAATCGCCTCTATACGAATATTGCCTGAAAAATAACGACAGCCCCCGCCTCTTCGCACCTCTTCCCACCTCTCCCCCGCCTCATTGCTGATTTGTTTCTACAACAACAACAACAAGAATGGCGGATCACAGGGTTGCTGTTGTGCTCCAGACGCTACTGACCATGAATTAATATGTTAGTGCTACAACTACGGTGCTTCTACGACAACCACAAGCAAACTAGTGGACATGAAGAACCACATACACGACATGTGGCTAAATCCACCGCGGAGAACAACCAGAAGGGCGACCAGGAGAAAGTTTTGGGTAAGACCGGGCAGAACTAGCAGTTGGTGGGACAATTTTGTCAATGGCGTTGTCGTGGACGATGAATGGAGGGAGAACTTCCGCATGTCCAAAGCCTCTGTCGTTGCCCTGACTGAAGAACTGCGCCCATATATCGAGAAGAAAACTACAAACATGAGGGCGCCAATTGATCCACTGAAAAGGGTTGCTGCGGTTCTTTATTACCCTGAGCGACGAGGGAAGGCTACGGAAGACTGCTAACGCCTTCGGAGTTTCCCGCCCGTCTTTGTCCCTCATTATTAGGGAGACATGCAGAGCGATCACCATCCACCTGGGTCCAAAATACATCAAGCTTGCCTTTTACTGAGCCCGAGACCGCGGATCTGGTTGAGGGGTTCCATTGTACACATGGCATGCCACAATGTTTAGGAGCAGTGGACGGAACCCACATCGAAATCAAGCAGCCATCTAACGACTCCACTAGTTACATCAACAGGAAAGGAAAATATTCCTTTAATGTACAGGCTGTCTGTGATTACAGGTACCGATTCATGGATGTCGTGGTAAAGTGGCCTGGGAGTGTGCATGATGCACGGGTCTTTGCTAATTCCAAGCTAAACATGTACTTAAAAACTGGAAAGATCCCTGCTCTGAAAAAACAGATTGTGGACGAAGAGGAGGCCATACCATGTATGTACATAGACTGTAAAATTTTTTTAAAGGTGTTTATTAAGATGTGATAAACATTCTTTGTTACATTCCCTGTCCTCACTGTGCAGCTCCTTCAGCGACAGGCTGCTGTACAATATTCATATACCTGGCTAGGTATATGTACCTGGCTGCTAAATCTGAGGACTGTTACAGGATTTTTTGTATTATATCCTAACTGTTTTTAGTACTTTTTTAATGCATGTCACATGTGTGAAACTAAGCAAATAACTATGTGATTCTCCAATGTCAAAGTGTGAAACTAAAAATAAAATTGGCTGCAACCACTTCCAGACTTTCTTTGAACTTAATGTGCAACAAATGTCATCATCCTCATGAATGAAGTTATATGGCCCATTCTACCGAGTCAGGTTGTCCATATATATTTTGTACCTTATTTATTTACACATATAGTAAAAGAACCATACATTTTTATATGGTATTTTCAGACTGTATTGGCCACTAGCGAAACATAGTACATACACTGTAGTAAAAAACTATTATATTAACCTGTTAAGATTGTGTTACCTTCCCTTCTCTAAATAGTATTTTAACCAATATTTGAGGATTTTCAGTAAAAGTAATATAAGCAAATGTTGAATCAAAGTTGAATTTATACAATTCATAAAAATCATAATGCAAACTTTCTTTGTGAAATGCATAATACTGATCATATTGATTCCAGAGATGAAATAGAAGGGAATGAGGCTATAATGGGTAATTTTTTTGGTATTTTGAGCAAAACACTTCATAGACATGTTTTTTATATATCTGAGACTATAATATATGCCTAACAATAGTTTGGGCTTTACCATTAAGGCCCAATGTGACATATCACAGTTCAGATATTTGACACTAGGGGGGGGGTTACTTTCATAAATGTGGTGTATTTAGTCAAAATTAGGTTTACAAGGTGAAAAGGACTTACAGCCTCCCACACACTGATATAGATATCTCACTGACTGTAATGAGGGAGAAGGAAAGAGAGTGAGGAGAGTGCTTGCGGAGTACATTGACCCTTACATGAAAGACAAGACTGTTCTTTTATTTTAATAAGGTTTTTTATTAATAACATTATTTATAAATGTGTACACAGTAAAAGGGAAAACAATACCTTTGCTAGCTAAAAAAAAAAGGCTTAAAAAAAAGTGATTCTCCATTTGTACAAAGTCTGGTGGAGTTAAAAATAAAAATGTTTACAGACTTCCTTTGACCAAAAAGTGCTGTGAAAAAAAAAGAAGCTCACTGCTTTACTGCTCCTCCTCATCCAGTGACCGCCTGAATGAATATGGAGGAGATTGTTGCTGTGGGGTGTGTGGTACAGAGGGGTTTAATCTTGGTGTGGCTGTGTGTGGCCTTCGGGGTGGGTATGAGGGCACCTGGAAGTGTCCATATCCACTGTTGTTAGTATGAACTTGCATGAACTGGCTCATCAGGGAAAGGCCATTCTGTACAGTCACATTAATGTTGTCCATGGTGTTGTTCATACGATCCATGCTGGCTGCGCTGCGGCTGGTTGCTTCCTCCATTAAGTCCAACATCCGGCTTTTTAATCGCAGCTCTTCCTGCACCGCATGTTCAGCTGGAAGCTTCCTCTTCATGCGGTCACTTCTGTGGCCGTCCAGCCGTGCAACATTTATTTAGTGTTATAGGTAATGGTTGCCAGAGTTTTTTAATTTACTTTTTTAGACAAAGACACGCTTTCTGGTTTCCTGTTTTTATGCTAAGCTATGCTAACTTGCCACTGCTTCTAGTAATGTTTATACTTACTGACGCTAAGCACGAAAGCATATCAGAATATTGCCCAATATGTATTGCTTACATTTTTCACGTACGTGACAAAAGTTACACATAATTAGGTTACCGCAAGTACACCTTTCCCTCGTCACTGTCAAAATTAGCTTCTCATATAATGATGGGACAAACAATATTTTAAAATACAAACATATTCACTTTTGTTTTACAATATGTATTAATGTTTTTTAGAATTGTTTGTTGAAACATGACTTAAGGACTGTCGCTTGCTGTTGAACTCACCTAAATTACATTTTTAAATGCAGCACAGATTCGGTTGGTCGGCGGCACAGGTCAATGCTCCGGTAGATTGGAGATCCTCTACAAAGGCCAGTGGGGGACTGTGTGTGATGATGAATGGTCACTTGGCAATGGTGATGTGGTATGTAGACAGCTTAGCTGCGGACATGCAGTTTCTGCTCCTTCAAGTGCCCACTTTGGTAGAGGCACTGGTCCAATATGGCTGGATAATGTGGAGTGTGCAGGCGAAGAGAATGCAATCACACATTGTCCGCACAACGGTTTTGGAGAAAATAACTGCGGGCACGGAGAAGATGCTAGTGTTATCTGTATAGGTGAGAGGCCTGGCTCCTTTTCTAATTTGTGAATGAAATCATTACCTTCTAACTGGTATTACATCACGCTCTAATGACGCTTATTGTCTTTTTCAGGTGCTCTACACAAGCCCAAAATCACTTTGATTCCCGCTCCAGAGGTAAACTGGGGTACCAAAGTTGAGATCACATGCACTATACTAGCAGAACAGTTGGGCGGGACATTCGTCCTGAAGAGGACCCAAGACTCCTTTAAAATGGAAAGATACACGGAGAATGAAGCTGCAACCTTTATCTTCCATTCAGTAGATTTCAACCAGAAGGGGTCATATTTCTGTGAATATCAAAAGAAATTGCCCAATCAAGTCATCTATTTTCCTCAAGGAGAAACGGCAGAGCTCTCCATCATAGGTCAATAATTCTGTTTGATAACTATTTGGCTATTAAACTATATATGCTATATTGACTGTCATGCCATTGTTTAGATCAGTTTCAGTCTGTTCGTAGTTATGGTTAACAGTAGTGCTTGGAGTGTCTGAAATAGAGATTGCTCGATACGCAGAGAGAGATAATATACGTTTAAAAATGTTTAGCCTGTGTTTCTATGTAAAAACCTGTGGTGCTATCTTTGAAATTAGCAGAGCAAAGCGTTAAGTAAATGAGCAACAAATGCGAAATGAACTCCGATAAATCTTTCAAATGCATATTGTAGATCTGTTTCTCTCTGAAATTGCTTATTTTGTTTTTAAAACTAAGCTTTTCTTAAGCTGATGTGGCAGGCCTTAGCAAAAGGGTTAATTTGACTGCAAGATTGCAAACAGGTTTTGTGATCCAAATGAGTTGTTAAAAAAAGGTTTTCTAATCTGCAGTGAAACTGGAAAAACCCACCCTCTCCCTGTCGTCTCCTTATGCAATGGTGGTCTCCACCCCTGACAAAATATCGGTCACCCAAGGGAACAGCTTCTCCATCATTTGCTCTACTCATTCCATATACACTGGAGGTTTCTTCTATCTGACAAAGTCCCACAACAATGCCACTGAAGCGGTGCCTGCATTTGGCTACACCATCCACTACATGACAACCTTTAACTTTCCTGCAATAGATTATAAAACCCAAGGGGATTATAGGTGCATCTACGGAGTGAACATTTCTTCAATGTCCTTCTCTTCAGTTCCCTCCAAGTCACTCCAAGTCTCTGTAGTCGGTAAGACCCAAGGAGCCCTTGAGAAATGATTTGACTTAAAATGGCTAGTTTTCTCCTTTGCTAACTAAATGATCTTTTGACCCCTACAGCGGCCTCATCCTCTTCAGTGGTCACAGGATGGGTTGTGGGTTTGCTGTTAGTGTTACTTGTGGGGGTTATAGGTTACCTGATGTGGAGAAAGAGAAGGAGGATTGCTGGTGAGTTTCACACAAAACATAACAAAATTGGATGGTTCAATCCTTCACAGCAAATAACGTTTTTGCATCTCTCTTTACATGTTTTGTCCACTCTCACTGCTCTCATAGCGTCATTTTAGGCTACTGTGTTAAATTATAATCAATTTGACTGATCTCTTTGGCTCTAAGGATTGTTGTAGCACCCTATTATGATAAAAAAAGTACCCCCAAACCTAAAGACAACCACACTTACAGTCTAACAGTCTAACCATGGTTGTTTCATATAATGACATACATAACCAAAAAGTAATTGGTGGAACTGTTGTAACACTATAGTCAACATGTTAAACACAATAATACCAGTTACATTGCAGAGCCATGCATAAAAAAAGACATCCCCAATTTGTCAAACTGTCCCCCAAATGGCCAAACAATTCAGTAAAAGCATTTTTAGAAAATTAGTTTTCTCTGGATCCCCTGTATTTGTTTTAGGTCAAAAACTTTAATATTTTTACTTTCCAGGTACAATGGTTCAGTTCAGTAACAGGTTTGGAGGAGCATTAAAGGATGATCTCGACGACAGGTGCAATGGAGCCCTCTATGAAAGGTAGTAAATATAATGTTATTTGCAAAGATATACATATTTTGTTTTAGATCAAACAACTTTAAATTGATTGCAATTGTCCTCCTCCTCATTCCCCTCAGTGCCAGAAATACCCAAGACAATGAGCAGACGCACAGCCCCGGGCAGGAAGAAAACAATGCTGATGTTGATAACTCTGTGGAGAGGATCCCTGAAGATCTGGCTGGGAGAGTGTGCTATGAGCTAGAACCACTCGTTTTTCCTTGATAACTAAATGCATCAAGTAATGAAGAATGTCGTGCAATTTCACAAAACGTGAAATGTTTGGGTGGTTAAAGTTTATAAGTCTGCTGCATCTTTAACGACAGCCAACAATGGTGTCACAGTGTATCGGTGACTAGCTGATGATCTGTTGCTCTTTCAGGAAGACCAGGTTTAAGTGTGTTTTTACACAACATTTTATTTTTTAATCTACACACTTCCTCAAATATATGCTGCATTCTTTGCTTTATTCCTGTTGTGGCTTACATTTGACAGAGAGATTCTATTGATCAGAAAGCTTAGATCAACTGACCTACAGGAGTAGGCTGATTACATTGTCTTTGCATTCTATGGTAATTTGCTTTATTTGGTGTATGTGAATGCAGATCAATAAATATATATTTCTTACCGCGCTTGCACCTTTTTGTTTGGCAGAGTTTTTGATGATTTGACCCTGCTGGGGGAAAATGTGCCCAATTGTCACCAAACACTGCCAAGATATGTGAACTATCAAATACATGAATATGTTTTATCAATCATCATCAGTAATTGTTATAACAAATTCCTCAGCATAACCTGGACAATAAAAGAGGAACTGAATGTATTCAGCATCATTATTAATTATCATTGACACCTATGCTGTTCCACTCAAAAGGCCTTCAATGCAAAAAATAATATAGACTAAAAAGTACAATCCCCCATGAAACTTGGTGGAGATGTCACAGTCTGCTTTCTCACTCACTTATTTTCTGCATTAACATTCCTTAGTCACCTGGTAGTCACACCCTGTCTCTCTCTCTCACTCTGTTACACCCATCAGCTCCATTAGTATATAGGCCCACTTCACTTTCACCTCAGTGCCAGATCGTACTTTGCAGCATGCCAGTCTTTCCCGCATTACCTTCCAGATTGCTCTCCCGGTTTCGACCCTGCCTGTCCCTGACCAGCCTGCCTCGCCTGTTTCCTGACCCTGCCTGTACCCGGACTATTCTGCCTCGCCTGCTCCCTGACCCGGTCTGTACCTGCGACTCCCGTCTTGCTTTCTCCTGGAACCCTCGCCTGTCCCCGACCAGCCCTTTGCCTACTATCTGCCGTTTCGTCTCCTAACAGCCTATTGCCTTAAATAAAGCTGGTTACCGACTATCCCTGGTTTCCCGTGTGTTGCATTTTGGTTCTCAGCTCGTTTGTGACAGAACGATCTGACCAGAAATGGACCAAGCAAACACCGGGTCTCCTAGAGACCGCTTTGAGAGGGTTGAGGAAGCCATCCAAAGACAGGAGGTCACGATAGCTACCTTAGCTACCGAGACCCACCAGGCAACCTCAACCCAGGGACAAACGCTGGCTTACCTGACCTCCCAGATGCAGCAGATGGCCGCCACCGTACAACAGCTAGCCGCTACCATGGCTGCTACCGTCCCTCCGCCCGCAGCTCCGATGTTCACTCCAGCTTCTGGACCGACTGGATACGCTCCGGAGCCTCGTGTGGGAACTCCGGAACGCTACGCTGGTGAGCCTGAGGGATGCAGTCCTTTTCTCACAAACTGTTCCATATTGTTTTCACTGCAGCCACACACCTTTGCCTCCGAGGCGGCTCGCGTAGCTTTCACCGTTAATCATTTGACGGGGAAAGCCCGTTTATGGGGTACTGCAGAGTGGGAGCAGCAGACTCCAGCCTGCGCTTCTTTTGCTGCATTTTCCGCGGAGATGCGGAAGGTGTTCGGTTCTGTTCGTCTGGGTCCCGACGCTGCCGGAAGTCTGCTGAGCTTGAGCCAGGGTTCCGGCATGGTGGTAGATTACGCTATTGACTTCCGCACCAGCAGCCGCCGCAGCAGCTGGAACGAGCCGGCGCAATGTGACGCATATCTGAGAGGATTAGCGGATTATATGAGAGATGAGCTGGTTTCCTATGATCTCGGATGGGTTGATCGAGCTCACCTCTCGGATTGACAGACGAATCCAGACCCGGAGAGGAGAGCAACAGACGTGAGCGGCGGGCCGCTGCTCGCGACAACAACTTCTGGTTTCCGGGAAATTTCGACCTCCGGTTTCGGCGGAGAATTCCCACCCCTACTCTGACTCACGGTACGGGGAGGTCGAGCCCATGCAAGTGGGTCGTACCAGTCTTACCTCTGAGGAGAAGGAATTACGTCGAAGAGGTAATCTATGCCTTTACTGTGGTCAGGCTGGACATTTTGTTTCCCGTTGTCCGGTAAAAGGCAGAGCTCATCAGTAATGGGGAGTATACTGGTGGGCCAAACCTCTGAGCTGATCCCCAATGTAAGACCCTTGTGCCATGCTCGACTCCTCCTGACAGGCAAATCTCAGGCTCTGGCTGTTTTTATCGACTCCGGATCAGATGTCAGCATCATTGACGAGGAGCTCGCACTACAGCTGCGCATCCAACAGGTTCAGTTGCCCCAGCCGGTACCGGCTAATGCTTTGGATGGTCACCTGCTGGGAACGGTGACACACCAGACGACACCGGTCCATATGCTCATGTCGGGGAACCACCATGAGACAATCCAGTTTCATGTGCTACGGTCCCCCCAAATTCCTCTGATTTTGGGTTATCCATGGCTCCGCCGCCACAACCCGAACATTGACTGGGCAACTGGGTCCATCCTAGGTTGGAGTTCCTCCTGTCATCAGGTTTGCCTCAAGCAGGCCGCCGCACCTCAACTATCTGTGGATATGAACCTGGTTCCGGATGTCACAGGGGTTCCGGCAGAATATTTGGACTTTAAGGAGGTTTTTAGCAAGACTAAGGCGACATCTCTCCCACCTCATCGGCCCTATGACTGCGCCATTGAGCTACATCCAGGCACAGTCCCACCCAAGAGCCGGTTGTACTCGCTTTCGGCACCGGAGAGGAAATCCATGGAGACTTACGTCAATGACTCTCTGGCTGCGGGAATTATTCGTCCTTCCACATCACCCGCAGGAGCAGGGGTTTTTTTTTGTGGCGAAGAAGGACAAGACCCTGAGACCCTGCATTGACTATCGGGGTCTGAACGACGTCACGGTGAAGAATCGATATCCCTTGCCACTCATCTCGTCAGCGTTCGAGTTACTACAAGGGGCTACAATCTTCACTAAGCTGGATTTACGAAACGCATATCACCTGGTACGAATCCGTGAGGGGGATGAATGGAAGACCGCCTTCAACACCTCTTCGGGACATTACGAGTACCTGGTGATGCCATTTGGACTTACCAACGCCCCTGCAGTTTTCCAAGCGTTGGTGAACGACGTACTCCGGGACATGTTGGATTGTTATGTTTTTGTTTATCTGGACGACATTTTGATTTTTTCAAGGAGCCTCAAAGAACACATCCACCACGTCCAGACAGTCCTCCAGAGACTTCTGGAGAACTCGCTTTTTGTCAAGATGGAGAAGTGCGAGTTTCACACTTCTTCGGTCGCCTTTCTTGGCTACATCGTGGGTCAAGGAAGTGTGGAGATGGATCCCTCCAAAGTTTCAGCGGTTACCTCGTGGCGGGTTCCTGATTCCCGGAAGGAGCTGCAGAGTTTCCTGGGATTCGCGAACTTTTACAGACGGTTCATCCGTGGCTACAGTACCGTGGCCGCCCCGCTCACCGCCCTGACCTCGTCCAAAGTAACGTTCAGATGGTCCCATGCAGCCGAGGAGGCTTTTCAGGACCTCAAGCGCCGGTTTACGTCGGCTCCTATCCTGCAAGTACCAGACCCTGCTGGTCAGTTGGTGGTGGAGGTGGATGCTTCTGACGTAGGGGTGGGGGCCATCCTGTCGCAACGTTCTGGTGAGAACCAGAAGCTCCACCCCTGTGCTTTCTTTTCGAGGAGATTGAGTCCGGCGGAGAGAAACTACGACGTGGGGAACCGGGAGCTTCTAGCAGTCAAGTTGACGTTGGAGGAGTGGCGACACTGGCTTGAGGGGACAGAACAACCATTTCAGGTTTGGACCGACCATAAGAACCTGGAATACATCAGGTCGGCACAAAGACTGAATTCCCGGCAAGCCAGGTGGTCGTTATTTTTCACCCGGTTTAATTTTTTCCTCTCCTACCGCCCGGGCTCCCGCAACGTGAAGGCCGACGCTCTGTCCCGGCAGTTCGGGAGGGAGGGAGACACCTGCGGTATCCCGGACACTATTCTTCCTGCTCCTCGAGTGATCGGCGTCCTCGCTTGGGAGATTGAGGAGAGGGTTAAGACCGCTTTGGTGGACCAACCCGGTCCTAGTTCTTGTCCTCTTAACCGTTTGTTTGTGCCTCAGGTTTTGAGGGCTGAGGTGCTTCAGTGGGCTCACAGCTCCAGACTTTCCTGCCATCCTGGTATTCAACGTACCAGAGGGATGGTCCTGCAACGGTTCTGGTGGGCCACGCTGGAGGCTAACACCCGGGAGTTTGTGAACGCCTGTCCTGTGTGCAATCAGCACAAACCCTCTCACCAAGCGCCAGCTAGCCTCCTTCATCCATTACCGGTCCCACGTCGCCCTTGGTCACATATTTCTTTGGACTTTGTGACTGGTCTACCACAGTCCCACGGACATACTGCCATCTTGACGGTGGTGGATCAGTTTAGTAAGATGGCTCATTTCGTACCCCTGCCTAAGATCCCGTCAGCTAAGGAGACGGCATAACTTATTCTTCTCCACGTTTTCCGCCTTCACGGACTGGCGACTGATGTGGTTTCCGACCGGGGGCCCCAGTTCACCTCTGTGTTTTGGAGGGAGTTTTGTGAACTGATCGGGGCGACGGTCAGTCTCACCTCCGGTTTCCACCCACAGGCCAATGGCCAGACCGAACGGAAGAATCAGGAGATGGAGAACACTCTCCGCTGCATGGTTTCCGATCATCCAACGACCTGGTCTAAACAACTCCTGTGGGTGGAGTATGCCCACAACACCCTCATCAGTTCCGCTACTGGTCTTTCCCCTTTTCAGTATGCATACGGTTTTCAACCCCCTTTGTTCTCTGCATTGGAGAAGGAGGTTACCTGTCCGTCTGTCCAGGCTTTCATCAGACGTTGTCAGAGGACTTGGAGGCAGGCTCGAACAACTCTGCTTCAGTCTGCTAACCGGTACGCCACATCAGCGAACCGCCGACGCACCAAGGCACCTGTGTACCAGGTAGGCCAGAGGGTGTGGCTTTCCACTCAGAACATTCCCCTTCGGGTGGAGTCTAAGAAGTTAGCGCCCAGGTTTATTGGACCCTTCGAGATTGTCAAGGTCATTAACCCTGCAGCGGTTCGACTGAGTTTGCCCCGGAACATGAAAATCCATCCCACCTTCCACGTTTCTAGGATTAAATCTGTCCGGGAGAGTCCTATGATTCCCGCCGCCCCTCCACCACCACCCCCTAGGATGATCAATGGGGGTCCTACCTACACCCTTCGTCGTCTACTTCGTTCCCGACGCAGAGGAAGAGGGGTTCAATATTTGGTGGACTGGGAGGGCTATGGTCCTGAGGAGAGGCAGTGGATTCCCCCCACCTTCCACCCTGTGTCTGTAGGTTTTTTGTTGATTTTTATTTTTTCTCGTAGAATTGTCTTAGACGTCAGGAGCCGTCCATTAAGGGGGGGGTTCTGTCACAGTCTGCTTTCTCACTCACTTATTTTCTGCATTAACATTCCTTAGTCACCTGGTAGTCACACCCTGTCTCTCTCTCTCACTCTGTTACACCCATCAGCTCCATTAGTATATAGGCCCACTTCACTTTCACCTCAGTGCCAGATCGTACTTTGCAGCATGCCAGTCTTTCCCGCATTACCTTCCAGATTGCTCTCCCGGTTTCGACCCTGCTTGTCCCTGACCAGCCTGCCTCGCCTGTTTCCTGACCCTGCCTGTACCCGGACTATTCTGCCTCGCCTGCTCCCTGACCCGGTCTGTACCTGCGACTCCCGTCTTGCTTTCTCCTGGAACCCTCGCCTGTCCCCGACCAGCCCTTTGCCTACTATCTGCCGTTTCGTCTCCTACCAGCCTATTGCCTTAAATAAAGCTGGTTACCGACTATCCCTGGTTTCCCGTGTGTTGCATTTTGGTTCTCAGCTCGTTTGTGACAGGAGAAGAAGAAAGAAAGAAAGAATACACTGGAAATATTCAAGTACAAGTACCTCTACAAGCTCTTAGGTTCAGTAGTGGGACAATATACTTAGTTATTTTCCACCACTGCTGGTAGTTCGTGTTTTTGTGGTTTCATGATAGACGTAAGCAGGCTGGAATGTCAACAACATGAATCACATAAGTGAGTGTCTCCATACAGGCAGACATGTTGTGTGCAAATCTGCTCACCTTGTTTAACCTCAACACAAACAAAACGCTTATTTTACTGTTTATAATATCCAGGTCTTGGATCACATTTTGAAGTAACAAAGGTAACATATTAATTATTAGGACGGACCATATTAAGTTTCGATCCATGACAACAATACGATTGTCTTGAACATTGAAAAAAGTATTCCAGGGGAAAGCAAGTTCCTGTTTATAACACACAGATTTTATCTATAATTGCTTTAATATCCTTAAATACCTTTTTTTGTTAAGTTCCTGCAACAGAATAAGATATTAAACTGAGATGAAGAAAATAAAACAGGCCAATCAAAAATGGCCTGTTTATTTAAGCTTGTTTATACTACATTGAAATCGATTGGCTGTTCTTTTAACAAATTCAACATAAAAGGACTGCTGGGAATGATAAGGCGATGAGATTCTAGGGACAGGTGGGAGTCGGTGTTCACATGTTGTCATTCGTTAAACAACAACTGTCTTTTTAATCAACATTTCCCTTTTATTTTTCGGTAGCTCAACCTTCGTTGTGTCGCTACATCAGAGTCACTATCTTACTGTGGAGGAAACTTCTGTGTAGTAATGCATGGAGTCACCGACTCAGGAAGGAGACATGGTGAGAGTTGGAGCTTTGATGTCAAACACTGATGGGTTTATTCAGAGTATTCGGCCGGAGGATTCACATCACAAATCAAAGAGTCAGAGGTTCTGACCACACGGTAGAGTTGCCACGTCAATTCTGAAGAATTTAACGGGTTCACAGAGAGAAATCAACATCTCTGAAGGAGTAGACTAAACACTGAGTCACCTGCGTCTGACGCTCATGGCCACAAGGATTTCACATCCTAGAGCCCACAAACACTGATAAAGAAGTGCCTCAGTGTTCCCACAACAATTACCCTTCGTGCCAGTCAAGTTGACCGGTCACACACTGGTGACAACAACACATATGGCACCAAGGCCTTTCCTTAAAGGAGATAACACGTCACAGAGCAAAAGGTTAGATATCTAGAAGAATAATTCCTTAACACTTACTAATACTATCTACTACTGTTTACCAGCATTAGTTTTCATATATGCTGTTGAATATAATGTCTTTTTAGAAAGTAATGTAGGTGTTGTGTAAAACAAAATGAAATCTCCGCTCATCCCCTGTCTTTAATGATTGATCCAAATGTCAACATGCTTCCAGTTTGCAGTCCAAGTCCATGTAACCCCTTTTATTCATAACAATTACTGGATCTGTACACGAGGCTGCTGTCTTTTGGATGTTTCAGATATGATCAGAGTTTTATTTTGAATTGTGAGGTCATTTAAGCAGCTGCTGGATTTAAAAGGTTAGATGGCAACATAATTTAATTTGAAGAGTTTAGTTAAAAAACAACAAGAACTGGATGGCTTCCAAAAATCAACTTTCTTGTTCTACTGAAGACTGATAATACAGTAAAGTACTTTTTTAACAATACCCATTTTGACTGTATTTTTGCAGCTTTTGATCTACTTTGAAGACACAATGATCTTCATTTCAGCTGAAAAACGACACTTCGCTTTTTACTTGTCAGTTGGTAAGTTTTTAATTTTTCCATTCTTTTCTTGAATTCTTAAATCATGTGATAGTCAAACAACTTGGTCTCATGCTCTCAAACCCTTAAGAAAGACAGCTCTTATTATTGATAGTTCACATTTTCTTGCTTTAAAACAATTTGACAAAGTTGAGGTTGGACAATAAGGAGTTATGTATTTCTGCACATCGCCAAGCTTTCCTGATACGTAATAAATATGATGAATTAAAGCAAACACTGCTATTGTAAAATATTGTTTTAAATATTAATGACAAATCTCATGTGTCTGCTCTAGGTCTGTTGAGTATACCACTGCTTGCAGGTCAGTACATTCTATTGATCTCATGCCTCAAATTGAATTATAGTCTGATCTAACAACAAAGGACCATTTGTCACTGAGATCAGGCTGACATGTCCTTGAGCTATTGTGTGTTCATTTTTCATTTATAGAATGCATTGAGGTTAAGCTGGTCGGGCCTTCACGTTGCTCTGGTAGACTGGAGGTCTTGCACACAGGCAGTTGGGGAACTGTGTGTGATAACCAATGGAGCCTCGCCAACGCTGACGTGGTATGTCGAGAGTTAAACTGCGGGACAGCTCTTGAGGCCACTAAAGGCGCCTCTTTTGGAGAGGGAAAGAACATGATCTGGTTGGATGATGTGCAGTGTACTGGTCATGAGACATCTGTCCTCAAGTGCCCACACAGACCAATGGGGCAAAATAACTGCGGCCACTCTGAAGATGCTGGGGTTACCTGTTCAGGTAATTAATGGTATGTTTGGTCTATGTTTTTCAAAGTTGAAATTACCAGTACTCAATGACTTTCTTAATAAAAGGATAATCCCTTTTATTAAATCTATAGTTGGACATAAAAGGCAAAGGTAAAGCTCAGCCCCTAAACTAAGTTTAGCGTAAATACTGGAGATTATGAAAGGGCATATTGTCATTTCTTTCACAAACAAACACGTGTTAAAGATGGAGCTTTGAACATGCTGGATTTTGTTAACCTCAGACAAAGCCAGGGTCTATCTCTGTTCTTAGTGTTTCTGCTGTGCTTAGATAAGTTGCTGCTTGCTGTAGACTTTTTGTTTATCAAGTGAATGGAAGAGTAGAATCAATCTTTTTATCGAACTCCCCCAAAGTAATCACGTTTCCCAAAATGCTGAACTTTTGCTTTGAATAGACTAAGTTAGCTCAGAAGATCAGGTATTTCGAAACTCTGCATTTCTAGGATTTCTCAATTTAAATCAAGAACATGTGAAACTTTCGGGAGAAATTGGGAAATACGGCAGTGGAGAAAAAAAGCTAACGCAGCATTTATCTTGGCAACTGATTACAATATTGCTTTGAAAACGCAGCAGTTATATTGTCAGGTCACATTTGCTCTCTGCTTTTAGAGGATTTTTGCAGCAGAAGCGTTAAAACTAAGATAAAGCAAGCTTAACCACACTAAGCTAAAATAAGCTGAGCTAACTATGCTAAGCTACAGCATTTCGGATTCCATCACTGGGAAAGTATATTCTTGGACTTGAGCAGTTACTTCCTTAGGTTTCTGGTGGTTGCCTGGAAACTGTTCCAACTGTTTACAATTGTTGGTGAAGCTTAGCTAACTTTCTCTTTTTTGCAGATGTATACTAAAAAATACAGGTGAAAGTTGTTTCAATGTTGTCATATGATTTTGCCAGTAACAAAAATGTATTTCCCAAAATGTGCGATTGTTCTTTAATACACAAATGGTTATAGATTTTTTTAACGGCGCACATCATTTGCAGAACATGTGAAGGTAGTCAACGGAAGCAATCGGTGTACTGGCAGAGTGGAAGTCTACCATGAAGGCAACTGGAAACGAGCATGCAAAAGTGACTGGGCGACGTTAGACGCTGTCGTGGTGTGCCGAGAGCTTAACTGTGGCACCCCTATCACTCAGACTGAAGAGCTACATTTTGGAGAGTCACGTGACCTGCATGGTATCAAACCCAACTGTTTAGGAAATGAGAGCTCTATCTCACTGTGCAGAATTCAGGAAAGCAAGGAAAGCTGTGTGGATGCTACTATCGTCTGTGAACGTTAGTAATTCCTGTGTTCAAGCTACATCAATCATTTTGTGTTAAACTTCACCTGTATAAATCTTACATTTTGGATGGCTTATGAATATACATACCCTTGATCTTTTTATTTCCCACCTGACAGACAGTACACCAATTCGACTGGTAAACGGTTCTTCTGATGGTCGGTGCTCTGGACGTGTGGAAGTCTACCACGATGGAAATTGGGGAACGATTTGTGATGACGAATGGGGGATGCAGGAAGCAGATGTGACATGTCGAGAGATGAATTGTGGGAATGCTATCTCTGTCAAGTACGAGTCTTTTTTCGGAAGAGGTCAGGATCAGATTTTGTTGGACGATGTTGAGTGCACTGGTCATGAGAAGTCCCTTTCTGAATGCCCGCACAGAGGTTTTGGAGAACACGACTGTGACCACAATGAAGATGCTGGTGTTATATGCTCAGGTAACACTCTTTATTTGTTCTAATTAATAGTGGAAATTCAATTGCCAATCCTAAATATTGGCATTTGTGTGCAATGGTAATGCATGTAATTTCTGGAAAGTATTAGTTGTTTTTTGTATGACAGTTTGCTGAAGTTTTGGCTGTTTCTCTTTTTATAGTTGGCAGAGTCATTGCAGAAATATTTGCATTTTCATGAACTTTCTAGTACATTTGCACTGCAGCACTGTTCAACCATTATAGCAAAGGACAAGTGGTTAATTAAAAAACAGAATTGGCATACTGTATGTGCATTACACCTTATTATTGCTATTTACTGGTGAATATTCTAATGGTTGCAACTAACTAACTACCTTAATAACTACTAAACTGAAAGTTCAGACAAAGCTTAATATTTGGATTATTTCAGTCTAGCTTGTAAGTAATGTTAACATGAGTGGACATGTCCTCAGGTAATCCACCGCTAAGGCTTGTGAACGGCACTGATCGATGCTCTGGTAGAGTGGAGGTTCTTCATGATGGCGCGTGGGGAACTGTGTGTGATGATGAGTGGGACATCAAAGATGCTCAGGTGGTTTGCAGAGCCATGGACTGTGGAACACCTAAGACGGCCAAATCCTCTTCCTTCTTTGGTGCAGGCCAAGGAGACATTTGGCTGGTTTTCTGAACTTCTATACAAAAAAAAAATACAGTAAACAGAGTCACTCCAGTGACATCCCTTACCCCTTTACATGAACATGCCTGCCAGCCTCTGAAAAGTGTTACTATTTCCATGAAGACACAGTTCCTAATATCAGTATTTTGCTGATTATTCTTGGTAATTTGACTTACATCAAAATGTTTAACTAAAGCATTTCTGTCTGTCTGTCTGTCTGTCTGTCTGTCTGTCTGTCTGTCTGTCTCGGCTGCCTGTCCGTCAGTCTGTTCGCCCGTCTGTCTCTATGTTTCTTTGTTTTGAATTTCCTGACAACGTTTAATCCAGAAATGTTGATTGTGAAGTTGTTTAGAAGGGTATCTGGAGAATGCTACATACAATTTGAATGTCATGACAAACATGCTAAGAACATCAGTTGCTGATTCTCTGCTTTTTGCTTCCCAGCTACAATTAGACTGATCAATGGGACTGACCATTGCTCTGGCAGGGTTGAGTTCTACACTGGTGTCAAATGGGCAACACCATATAATGTTAACTGGGGAATAAATGAAGCAACAGTGGTGTGCAGAGAGATGAATTGCGGAGATCCTGACAAGCTTCCAGGATCATACGGTCATGGCGGACATCCTGGAGGGTATCAGGTCAGCTGTAACGGTAGAGAGAGTTCTCTCTCACAGTGCACACTGAGAGAACGTGGAAGAACAAGCCATGATCGCATTGAAGAGGCATCTGTCAAATGTTTAGGTAAGACTTGAAGTTTAATTGATATTTGAAGTGTCAAGTGGTATTGACATTTTTTTAAACAAGATTAGCATGAACCTTTTTTAGGCAATTATGGAAACAGCGTCTAAAAATGGCTTCAGGACTGCCGTGTAGCCCACGATCGTTTTCAACAAGCCCACAAAACACTGATTTCTAAAAAGAGTGGGGCATTTGCTGACTTTCTTTTATTTGTCAACACAAAAAGACAAGGCCAGATTGTCAGATGTCAAAGCAATGAGCCAAGCAAACTTGTATGTTACAAGCTCAATTGCTGAAATCACAGATGGTACCAAGCAATGACTAACAATGTTGCTCCCCGGGCTGGTTAACTGCACCTGTTTCAATTGGAATTGAAGCAATATTACACAATATGTTTTACTAATGATACCAATTAAACAACAGACATTTTCAGTCACTAGCATATGCCCCTGGAGACCACTAATGTAGCATAAATAAAAAACAACAGCAAAGTTGGAATGTACATACTGTATATATATATACGTATATAACAACTGTCATTTCCAGGCAATGTGAGGTTGTCCAATGGGTCCAGTCGTTGTGCTGGAAGAGTGGAGTTTTACGACAACGGCCAGTGGGGCACTGTGTGTGGTGAATCCTGGGGTGTGAATGATGCAAATGTGGCGTGCAGACAGCTTGACTGCGGGACAGCTCATAAGATTACCACAAAGACTGAGTATGGCCATGGCACAGGACATACCTGGATCAATCGAATCGATTGCTATGGATTGGAGTCAACACTGGGTCAGTGCTCACAAAGTCCTTTAAGAGACAGAACCTGCAACACTACCTCAGTTGCTGGTGTTGTCTGCACAGGTAAGAAAAAGCATATCTAAAACAAATGTTATGCATTCTATAATGTTTAGTTCAGTTCTATCACTCCTATTTTTTGTACAATTAAATGTAGGGCTTTTTCAGTTGGTTTTACAAAACTCTATTTACTAAATTGCCACATTCAATCTTATGCTCATTTCCATATAGTTAAATGTGTTGTGTTCCAAATCTGAATGGTGTGCAATATAGGCAACAAGTGTTTTTTTTAAACTTTTAAAATGTACTGTAAAATAATTTCAGTTTACCTCATATCACAGGAAGTTTGGAGGTCCGGTTGGCGAATGGTAAGGATGTGTGCTCTGGCAGAGTAGAGGTCCGTCATGGCGACATGTGGCAAACTGTGTGTGACACAGACTGGAACCTGAGTAAAGCTCAGGTGGTGTGTGAGCAGCTTGAATGCGGTGAGGCCAAGAACGCTCCAGGCGGTGCCCATTTTGGTGAAGGCAGTGGACCAGTAGTGGAGGCGAGCAATTCATGTTTTGACAATGTGACATCTCTTCGGCAATGCTCGGCCAAAGGTTACAGAGGAGCAAGCTGTGGGCACGGACATGACGCTGGCACTGTCTGTGCAGGTATGGCCTTTAAAATTACGTGTTGAACATTCTCACATGCTTTTGGGTAACAAATATAATAACAATAATAAAGGATGTGTAATCATTCCTTAAAGCAATAGATCAACTTTTTGGAAATACACTAATCAGCTTTATTGTCAAGAGTTAGATGAGAAGATTGACACTCTCACCAGACACTAAGTTAAATAGGAAACTGAGGATGGCAGCCGCTTAGCTCAGCTTTGAATTAGGAATGAAAAAAACAAGCTGCCTTAAATTAATTCAGATATATGTTAATGGTTAATTATTTATTTAGTGTTATAGGTAATGGTTGCCAGAGTTTTTTAATTTACTTTTTTAGACAAAGACACGCTTTCTGGTTTCCTGTTTTTATGCTAAGCTATGCTAACTTGCCACTGCTTCTAGTAATGTTTATACTTACTGACGCTAAGCACGAAAGCATATCAGAATATTGCCCAATATGTATTGCTTACATTTTTCACGTACGTGACAAAGGTTACACATAATTAGGTTACCGTAAGTCAACCTTTTCCCTCGTCACTGTCAAAATTAGCTTCTCATATAATGATGGGACAAACAATATTTTTAAAATACAAACATATTCACTTTTTGTTTTACAATATGTATTAATGTGTTTTAGAATTGTTTGTTGAAACATGACTTAAGGACTGTCGCTTGCTGTTGAACTCACCTAAATTACATTTTTAAATGCAGCACAGATTCGGTTGGTCGGCGGCACAGGTCAATGCTCCGGTAGATTGGAGATTCTCTTCAAAGGCCAGTGGGGGACTGTGTGTGATGATGAATGGTCACTTGGCAATGCTGATGTGGTATGTAGACAGCTTAGCTGCGGACATGCAGTTTCTGCTCCTTCAAGTGCCCACTTTGGTAGAGGCACTGGTCCAATATGGCTGGATAATGTGGAGTGTGCAGGCGAAGAGAATGCAATCACACATTGTCCGCACAACGGTTTTGGAGAAAATGACTGCGGGCACGGAGAAGATGCTAGTGTTATCTGTATAGGTGAGAGGCCTGGCTCCTTTTCTAATTTGTGAATGAAATCATTACCTTCTAACTGGTATTACATCACGCTCTAATGACGCTTATTGTCTTTTTCAGGTGCTCTACACAAGCCCAAAATCACTTTGATTCCCGCTCCAGAGGTAAACTGGGGTACCAAAGTTGAGATCACATGCACTATACTAGCAGAACAGTTGGGCGGGACATTCGTCCTGAAGAGGACCCAAGACTCCTTTAAAATGGAAAGATACACGGAGAATGAACTTGCAACCTTTATCTTCCATTCAGTAGATTTCAACCAGAAGGGGTCATATTTCTGTGAATATCAAAAGAAATTGCCCAATCAAGTCATCTATTTTCCTCAAGGAGAAACGGCAGAGCTCTCCATCATAGGTCAATAATTCTGTTTGATAACTATTTGGCTATTAAACTATATATGCTATATTGACTGTCATGCCATTGTTTAGATCAGTTTCAGTCTGTTCGTAGTTATGGTTAACAGTAGTGCTTGGAGTGTCTGAAATAGAGATTGCTCGATACCCAGAGAGAGTTAATATACAGTTTAAAAATGTTTAGCCTGTGTTTCTATGTAAAAACCTGTGGTGCTATCTTTGAAATTAGCAGAGCAAAGCGTTAAGTAAATGAGCAACAAATGCGAAATGAACTCCGATAAATCTTTCAAATGCATATTGTAGATCTGTTTCTCTCTGAAATTGCTTATTTTGTTTTTAAAACTAAGCTTTTCTTAAGCTGATGTGGCAGGCCTTAGCAAAAGGGTTAATTTGACTGCAAGATTGCAAACAGGTTTTGTGATCCAAATGAGTTGTTAAAAAAAGGTTTTCTAATCTGCAGTGAAACTGGAAAAACCCACCCTCTCCCTGTCGTCTCCTTATGCAATGGTGGTCTACACCCCTGACAAAATATCGGTCACCCAAGGGAACAGCTTCTCCATCATTTGCTCTACTCATTCCATATACACTGGAGGTTTCTTCTATCTGACAAAGTCCCACAACAATGCCACTGAAGCGATGCCTGCATTTAGCTATTACACCATCCACCACATGACAACCTTTAACTTTCCTGCAATAGATTATAAAACCCAAGGGGATTATAGGTGCATCTACGGAGTGAACATTTCTTCAATGTCCTTCTCTTCAGTTCCCTCCAAGTCACTCCAAGTCTCTGTAGTCGGTAAGACCCAAGGAGCCCTTGAGAATTGATTTGACTTAAAATGGCTAGTTTTCTCCTTTGCTAACTAAATGATCTTTTGACCCCTACAGCGGCCTCATCCTCTTCAGTGGTCACAGGATGGGTTGTGGGTTTGCTGTTAGTGTTACTTGTGGGGGTTATAGGTTACCTGATGTGGAGAAAGAGAAGGAGGGTTGCTGGTGAGTTTCACACAAAACATAACACAATTGGATGGTTCAATCCTTCACAGCAAATAACGTTTTTGCATCTCTCTTTACATGTTTTGTCCACTCTCACTGCTCTCATAGCGTCATTTTAGGCTACTGTGTTAAATTATAATCAATTTGACTGATCTCTTTGGCTCTAAGGATTGTTGTAGCACCCTAATTATGATAAAAAAAGTACCCCCAAACCTAAAGACAACCACACTTACAGTCTAACAGTCTAACCATGGTTGTTTCATATAATGACATACATAACCAAAAAGTAATTGGTGGAACTGTTGTAACACTATAGTCAACATGTTAAACACAATTATACCAGTTACATTGCAGAGCCATGCATAAAAAAAAGACATCCCCAATTTGTCAAACTGGCCCCCAAATGGCCAAACAATTCAGTAAAAGCATTTTTAGAAAATTAGTTTTCTCTGGATCCCTTGTATTTGTATCACTTTAACATTTTTACTTTCCAGGTACTATGGTTCAGTTCAGTAACAGGTTTGGAGGAGCATTAAAGGATGATCTCGACGACAGGTGCAATGGAGCCCTCTATGAAAGGTAGTAAATATAATGTTATTTGCAAAGATATACATATTTTGTTTTAGATCAAACAACTTTAAATTGATTGCAATTGTCCTCCTCCTCATTCCCCTCAGTGCCAGAAATACCCAAGACAATGAGCAGACGCACAGCCCCGGGCAGGAAGAAAACAATGCTGATGTTGATAACTCTGTGGAGAGGATCCCTGAAGATCTGGCTGGGAGAGTGTGCTATGAGCTAGAACCACTCGTTTTTCCTTGATAACTAAATGCATCAAGTAATGAAGAATGTCGTGCAATTTCACAAAACGTGAAATGTTTGGGTGGTTAAAGTTTATAAGTCTGCTGCATCTTTAACGACAGCCAACAATGGTGTCACAGTGTATCGGTGACTAGCTGATGATCTGTTGCTCTTTCAGGAAGACCAGGTTTAAGTGTGTTTTTACACAACATTTTATTTTTTTAATCTACACACTTCCTCAAATATATGCTGCATTCTTTGCTTTATTCCTGTTGTGGCTTACATTTGACAGAGAGATTCTATTGATCAGAAAGCTTAGATCAACTGACCTGCAGGAGTAGGCTGATTACATTGTCTTTGCATTCTATGGTAATTTGCTTTATTTGGTGTATGTGAATGCAGATCAATAAATATATATTTCTTACCGCGCTTGCACCTTTTTGTTTGGCAGAGTTTTTGATGATTTGACCCTGCTGGGGGAAAATGTGCCCAATTGTTACCAAACACTGCCAAGATATGTGAACTATCAAATACATGAATATGTGTTATCAATCATCATCAGTAATTGTTATAACAAATTCCTCAGCATAACCTGGACAATAAAAGAGGAACTGAATGTATTCAGCATCATTATTAATTATCATTGACACCTATGCTGTTCCACTCAAAAGGCCTTCAATGCAAAAAAGAATATAGACTAAAAAGTACAATCCCCCCTGAAACTTGGTGGAGAAGAAGAAAGAAAGAAAGAATACACTGGAAATATTCAAGTACAAGTACCTCTACAAGCTCTTAGGTTCAGTAGTGGGACAATATACTTAGTTATTTTCCACCACTGCTGGTAGTTCGTGTTTTTGTGGTTTCATGATAGACGTAAGCAGGCTGGAATGTCAACAACATGAATCACATAAGTGGGTGTCTCCATACAGGCAGACATGTTGTGTGCAAATCTGCTCACCTTGTTTAACCTCAACACAAACAAAACGCTTATTTTACTTTTTGCAAGAAAAAGATTGTGTCATGTCAATGTTATGTTACAGCTTGTTAAACTGCCCCCAAGTGGCCAAACAAATCAGTCAATTCAGGTTAAAAAAATTACCTATATATAGTTTCTCGATTTCCTATGTGATACACTCCAAACTATTTTTCACTTTATAGGTACCATGGTTCAGTTAAGAAACAGGTTTGGAATAGCAATGAAGCAATATATCAAAGAATGACAGTCACACTAGTGGGTGTGTCCATGCAGGCAGGTAACTCATGTCCAAACCTGCTCAGCTTGTCTAGTGCAGTGAAGCAGCTCCACATACATACATTTGGAAACTGGATCATTCTGTGCCTGCACTCCTCTCTTTCTAGATCATTTTAGAACAATAGCAGATATGCCTGTCAAAGTATTTTATACCAGCGTCAGCGGCTCCACAGAGGTACAGTGCTGTCTTACTTGTTTGATTGTTTTACTTGTAGTCATTTTTATAGAAGATTACATTTAATAAAAGATTGTCAGAAGTCACGTTGATATGCATACATTTTATTTCTGAATAACTGTAACTGCTCATCATGGCCATTGAAGAAATGTATATTGCAAATCAAAACTTTGTGATAACTTTTAAGTGTAAGGGTTTCACATACATTTTATATTTATGTAACTGATGAAATACTATCCTTTCCAGATCAAGAAAAAACAGCAACAAATCTTGGATGTCCTTGCCTCCAAGAAAATAGAATTTGAAGCTATAGACATTAGTCAGGATTCTAATACCAAGGATGAAATGAGGGAATTGGCAAATGACCCTACGGCTCTACCTCCTCAGATATGCAATGGGAACGAATATTGTGGGGTAAGTCTCACACAGTTACCAAAAGTAATGATAATGTCTGGTGACAATGCAACACCCTATTGGAACCAACGGAATTACAATTGAATGTTAATCATTTACATGCTAGTGGCACTTGAAAAGAGGAAAAACAATGTGGTAGTCCACAGGGCGTATAGACTCAGAAATTAAATAAATATGTACAGTACCACCCAATCACCTAAGATCCACACACACACACACACACACACACACACACACACACACACACACACACACATACACACACACACACACACACACACACACACACACACACACACACACACACACACACACACACACACACACACACTAACCCAGAAACTACAAGTTGCTGCTCAAGGCATTTGAATCATAGGCTACTTCATTGCATTTCGATTTTGTGTGAGAGGAAGATGTTCTTGTTTTGAGGGGCGCACCTTGGATCCTTGAAGGTTCCCAAAAAAGATTAAAAGTACAAATTACAGCACACAATATCTCTCAAACATGTATTCATTTTATTAAGATTTGTTTGAAAAATATATACAGTATATTTTTATATTAACTGCTTCTGTGTTTATTGTCTCTCTTTCTTGCATCTCCACCCTAAAATCCTTGACCCCCAACATCTTTTCTTTCTTTTAGAACTACGAAGCATTTTTGGAGGCAATTGAGAACGAACAGTTGGAGGGGTTTCTCAAGCTCTAAAAGGAATGGAGATCTTTGAAAAATACTATTAATATTTCTGTTAACTGTCATTTGATTTGGTAATGTTTGATAATGTTCAGCTAAACATATTTGTCTTCTGAAATGTTTGGAGTTGCATGAATGAAATAAAAAATAATAATAATTTGAACTCTGCTTGTTGCCCTTATTGACACTTTTTCTATGTAAAAGTCTGGTACCAAGTCGTATCAATCTGCACATTTACCAGGGAATTGAGATTAAAGTCGCTGCATTATTCCATAATATGTATAAACATACAATCATACGTAGTATTAGCAAAGCAACTGATCACATGACTGGAAGTGTCCCAAAACGTAGAGAAAAAAACCACTTTTAGTATAGAATTCTTACAGTATTTGTCCCAAATACTAATTTAATAACTAAATGTAATTGTTGAAAAAGTGGAAACACAGTTAGATTGCAGAGCCATGCATGAACAGAGAATAACATCTATAAAACGGTTCCCCGTAGACTGTGTAGGTTCCCCCAGGCCACTAGTGCTTGCTGGGAGGCTTTCAGTATGTCTCTCTGGGTGCCACGAAAATAAAATAAAAACCCTGTTGAAAGACCAAACTATATATATATATAAATACAGTATATAGATATGGGCAGCTGTGCAGAATTAGTAGCCTTCTATTGGTAGCTTAGTAGCTCTAGATATATTTTGATGTTAATACTTTTGCACTTTAAGTTAAGTAAAAACAACAAATAAAGGACTTTTACTCCACTTTTTCTTTTACACTGTGGTATTACCATTTGTATAGAAGTAAAAGGGCCTGAGTTTGTCCACCTACAATTATTTCATAATTATTCATTTATTTGTGTAATATTGAACATTGAAACTAAAACAGGCAGCATACTGGACGACCCTATAAAGAACGGACGGGGCCTTCTGCTTTTAAAGCAATGTCGCGGAGCTATGACGTCCTCTTTACCCGCTGACCGAGAGGAGGACAGGGTACGTTTCTCCCACTACCGGCACAATCTAAAGGATTTATCAAACATCTTGATATATAAAGTCATCACCATGAACCGTTTATGTTTAATAACAACTATTCTTTCATTTATGTTCTTTATTTCAGATCGTTATATCCAACATCCATCGATAATCAACAATGGCCGAGGAAGGGTGAGCATGATTACATTCTTCTATCTGTCGCTAACCAACAAAACGAGGGATTTCTAACAAAAAAACTGTTCTTACTCTCTGTGAAAAGTGGTGATAGAGGGGCTGAAACTTTAAATTATTTTGAGAACATGTCGCCCACACTTGTGCGGTTATAAATGTTAGTTGTAGTCTATTGTTTTGCCGAAGCTACCGCTAGCTACCTAGCTTAGCAGCATGTAAACTTATACTGTGAGGTGATTAGACAAACATATTTCTGCGTGTGCAGCAGTTATCAAGTATAGGGAAGGCTAAAAAAACAAAAGTTGAACGTGGTTGTTTTGATCAGCTCTTGCTATGCCAACATATTTTACCATTGAATTTGCCATGTTACTGAGCAAGTCAGTAGCTGCATAATTATTAAAACATAACCCCAGGTCCCCTTTAATCTGAAGTACCCTGTCTGCAAAGGCAGAATCGGTGCACTTTAATATCACAAGCAAAAGTGGTTAAAGCCAAATGTAATACGATATCAACGCATTTGGACTTCATTGTGACACAATGGCTATTTTAAAAAGTCAAGGTTTGTAGAAAAGCACTGAATGCTTACATTTAGCCTGTAAGTTTTTACTTTCAGGCTCTTGTTTTATTCCATGCAGAACTTGCACCAGACAGGGATTATATTATCCATCCCACTTAAATGGTCAGCTGTCCTCAGGCATACAATGAAATGCTCAGTGTGCTATTCCCACTTTAAGCGAGTTCTCTGGCGCTTGAATGATGACTTTCTTTCTTTTGTCGGATACCCCTTCTCTCTACAATGAGTGAGAACCCTGTTCTGACAACGCCAGAAGCTCAACTGAAATCTGCTAATCTATGAAGCCTATTTTGCTAAAATAAAACACAAAAAAATTCTGTTTTTAGTAGCGTCCCTGCTGCAGTCCCTGCTGGAGGTGCTGCTGGAGGTATTTCGACGGGTGTGATGGATGTCAACACTGCTCTCCCTGAAGTGCTCAAGACCGCACTTATCCACGATGGCCTCGCCCGTGGTATCCGTGAGGCTGCCAAGGCCCTGGACAAGTATGTTTAATTTAGTTACATTTTTTTAAATGTGGTTTCGTCCTTGAATGCATCCCGGATGACATCCTGGCTCCCTCTACTGAACCTTTGTGTGGATACCTGCCAATGTTACCCAATTTTTGTCTTGATGTGCCACACATTTTTGGGAATGTGTTAATGTTGCCTTTGCTGCAAACTAAATCATGTTTTTTTTTTTTTTTTTTCAGGCGTCAAGCCCATCTCTGTGCCCTTGCAGGCAACTGCGATGAGCCCACATACGTCAAGCTGGTGGAAGCTCTCTGTGCGGAGCATCAGATCAACCTGATAAAGGTAACAAGGCTGCTCATAACCGACTGATCAAGTATCTGGTTTGGGAAATTCACATGAACAAATGGAAAGAGATGTGAAATGGTCCTGTTGGCGGTGCAGCAAGAGTACACGTATTGCTGCCGTTTTGTTGAAAAAATAAATTATAATTACACCATTGTTTATCAGGAATGACTCAAGTTAAAATACGCTGTTGAACCTTATTTCAGGTTGATGACAACAAGAAGCTCGGCGAGTGGGTCGGTCTGTGCAAGATCGACCGTGAGGGCAAACCCCGTAAGATTGTGGGCTGCAGCTGTGTGGTGGTCAAGGTAAATGATGCTGTTCACTTCATTTTTTTGCCTACATTCAAGAAAAACAAACAGAATAGACTATACCCTCAACATATTCCTGCTAAGTATACACAATATATCTGCCAGACAAGTGCAGCTGCTGTGCTTTGTGCCATGCAGCTGTTGTTTAAAAACATCTGGCCAAATGAAAGCCAGGGTACGAGCCCCTTCGTCTAACTGTGGTTTCTGGGGTCCCTAAGAATGGCAACAAATAGTAACGAATGGAAAGGAGCACCATGATTGATGGGTCATGTCTGACTTATCTCGTAGTTTGCTGTTTATTCCAATCAACATGCCTGTATATTAATTTCTAGTGTTTATTTGAATGGGCTGCAATGATTCCCATAATGGGAGGAGCATATGTTGAAGATTTCTTCAAAATGTCTATAGATGCAGGTAAATGTAATGACAGAGTAAGCTATAACGTTTTTTCCTAAAAGTACATAAACTTATGGGAATTAAATAGCCTTGAATGCCTTTACAGTGAGTCTGTCCTGTCAAGTGTTGCTCAGCTTAGTGTCATTTTTAGCAGAGCCTAACAGATGTGTTTTTGGGGCTATACTTTTGAGTACTATATAAACTAATGCTCAGTTTTACCACTATTATTCACACAATGTGTTTAGGTGGGTAAGACTGAATGTAAATATCCCTTGACCCAACAAGGCCCTCAACACATCTGGATACTTGGCTGATGATATTGCTTCCGCTGTTATTTGTAGCTTAGTCAACCGTCTAATCTGCTCATCTCAAACTGTACTTTTCTGTTTACAGGACTACGGCAAGGAGTCTCAAGCCAAGGATGTGATTGAGGAATACTTCAAAGGCAAAAAATAAAATGTCAATAAAAAGTGAAAATTATGCAGTTGTCCGAAGTGTTCCTTTTTCCAGACAAGTCTCACCCAAACTAAACACTGGCAGTGATATTAAATTGGTCTGTCCAAAGGTCTCCTATTATGCTAGTTTTAGGCATATATTATGATTCTCGGATATATAAAAACATGTCTGATGTGTTTTGCTCAAAATACCAAACAGATTATGCATTTTTAGATATCCCTCTATTTCAGGCCTGTTATGGCGCATTTCCACCACACGGTCGGCCTCGCTCGGTACTGCTAGGCCGCGTTGGGCCTTGTTAGGGCCGGCTCACTTCATGCTGCGCTTCCATTACAGTTCAGGAACTGGGGTAGTTACTATAGTAACGCAGTGTAGGCGGAGCCGTGACGTCATCTTCAATGAAAACCCCAGAAAAACAACACAGCTGTTAGCACTCAAGCTCACAGCTCCTCATATCTGTTCAGAAACTAGACAAAAGTTAAAGTACAAACCACAGACTGCCTGTGTCATGGTGAATACAGTCGCTGCTTTATTTATGTCTGTATAGGCCGTTGTGAGTGTGGACGGTCGGAGCATATATTGCGTTAGCTTAGCCAATCTCCATTTAGAAAACACGCATTTTAAAAGGTTTTTCACCTGCCGTCTGTCTGCAGACTTGTCAAAGCATTAATTCATGGTTTTTACTAACCGGTATCAGTATGTTGTTACTTCGGCATCTTTTTGAAATGTGTATTACAATTAAATCACGGTCAAATATGTTCATCTTGTTGTAGTTGTAGCCCCCTTGCCAGCGATTCTCTCTAGTTTAGCAAACTCAGCCCTGTTTGTTGGCCCCGATAGAACCACGATTTTGTCGGGCCAGAAAAGAGGTGAAAAAGTACCCCCGGGCTGGAACTAGGCCTAGTGGAAGCGCAACCAAAAACGGGCCCGGCACGCTTAAACTCCGCTTAAGCTCCGCGCCATGGTGGAAATGCCCCATTAGAGAACTGCAGGTTCGGGGTCCTTATCTTGAAAAAAGGAGGGGAAGCTAATGCCTGTTTAGAATTCTACCGGCAGATACAGCTACATTCTGGATCAGCTCTGTTGTACCCCCGTTTTTAGAGATTTGTGAGGAAAAGAGAGGGTTTTGTGAGTTCCCTGACACACCGGGGACATGTATAAAAGACATCAAAAAGTGCATTTTGCATGATAGGTCCCCTTTAAAGTTCAGACTGGCTGACAGGCTTCATTTGAAGTGCTGTGTTTAATGCACAAACATCCTTATTTCTGTCCCCTGGGACATAATGGTGCTCTATTTTATAAGATTATTTGGAACATTTATGGCTTTTGCTGGGTGGACGGAGTTTTAAAAAAAGTTTTGTATAAAACTGATTATTCAATAACTGCTGGGTCCCCGGGTTAACAAGTAAGCAAGGAATACAATTGATTGCTCCAAAGGTTGGGGAGTTAATCAAACCGCAGATGTCTTGTGTGCTTTATGATTAGCTTACTGCAAATATAATTTTCAATAATGAGCAGCACTACCTGTACATGCATGTTGGATCAGTTTAAAAGGAAAGACGAGATGCATAGGTCATTTGTATAAGTTCTCCTTTATATCTACATACATAGACATTTCTGAATAAAGAAAAGACATTCAAACACATTAAGGCACAACACATCATGACGCACATCCTCAATTCCCCTGCCCAAACAATTACAAAAATCCAGAGTGGAGAAAAAAAACAAAGACCCCAAAAATGCATTTCATTTCCTTCACAAAAACATCCACCACTGCCCTTAAGTTTATTGTAAATAATTTACACAAGTTTCTGATGCAGGCTGCATTGTGTTGTGATTATTATACCACCAGGAAGAAAACACTTAGAAAAAAAAGCAGCTGTTAACCCCGCACACAGAATGCCTGTACAGAGAAGCCCTCGTGGTTTGAACATCCTCCCAGGTGACCCTCAGCAGGCCTGAGACTAGTCTGGCTGCCCTCCATCAAACCAAACATCCAGGAGTTGCCCCAGAAACATCCTCCCAGGCCAAGGGAGGCATTGAGCCTTTACAGGCTTCCAGTCAGCTGCAGGGACAGTAGAGGGGGGGTTTCACAGCGGTCTGTTCGCAGCATAGGGGCCACAGGGGCTGAGCTGGGTATTCGAGACACCTCTTAAGCCCACTGTTCAGTTCTTTACCTCCTTTCACCTCTTCTTAAGACCGTTCAGAGTTTGTAAATCCAGACGTTCAACAAGACAAAAAAAAATCACAAAAACGGTTGCAGTGTATTGTTTGTTCTTAAATAGTTATACAAAAGAAGGGGGCTGACCATGTCCACGGTAACATTGCATGAGTCCATATTGCTATAATAGTTACAGGTACTCAAACTCCAGTGCTTGGTGTAGTGCCAGCAGGTCAGAGTGGCTGGATATCCTCCAGAAAGGCATGTTGTGCTGTGGAGTGAACACACATCATTAGAACCAACAGTACTGTTAGCAGAGCTGCACACCGCCACCTAAACTCATGCAAGCTACACTACAGTAGCTTGTAGCTGCTTGCTTTGCAAAAGCACTGCAAACAAAATCCATGCAATCATAAGGCTTAAAGGAAGAGTTCAGCATTTGGAGAAATGTACTTATCTGCTCTTGTGCTGAGAGTTAATTGAGATAGAAAGATAATTATAACTCTTATATCAATAAGGCTACAGCTGTGCCCTTAGCTTAGCATTACAACAACATTGAAAAACAGTTAACTGCACTATAAGCTGCCTATATGCTAAGCTAACTGTCGGTAGCATTATGTTTAAGGGGCAGAGATTGATATTATTCTTCTCATCTAACTCTCAGCAGGAAAGTGATTGTGATCTTTTCCAATAATGTCAAACTTCTCCTTTAACAATCCCAGCACCCAGCATCAACAATGAAACCCAAAGCTGGAGGAAAGATGGGATTTACATTTTCACTTCAGGAAATATGTCCTTGATTGTCAATATTTGTCATATTTCTTTGTTGGGATATAGCTTTTCTACTACAGTACCAATGAAAAAAGACTTTGCACACCACTGGATAAAAAAACAGCATTATTGCGCTTAACAAATCACATTGTTCAAATCATTGTGTACATTTCGGAGCCATTCATGTCAAATGTGACACACATTAAGTTGAATTGTAGCTGCAGGTGGCTCACGAATTTGGTATATTTGACTTCCAAAAGTAGGTCCAAAATGTACACTTGCCAAGCCTTAGTCTCAAATTGTCACCCTGACAATCAAAAGTCACCTGCCACTTTATAAAACAGGAAAAAGCAAGAGCAAGTAGAACAGAAAAAAAGTAACACAAATCCTCTACAGCAAAGAAAGGCAGGCTTCTTCCAATCAGAGCTCACACTGTGTGGAGTAGGCGGGGTCACGGTGAGGTTGCGGGTCCATTACCTTTTTGGCCGCCTGCTCCTCTTCCACACCGTCCCCAATTACAACATACACTACTTTCCTGCCAAACCTTTGCATTATGCGTTCAAAGCAACTCTCTTTTCCTGCAAAAAAACAAATAAACAAAGGGGGGAGGAAGGAGGGTCACAAGGTCAGAGGGGTCAACGTTTTGAAGTCGTTTGTTTACCTGGCTGGCCGCATGCTCTTCATCCTTCCCATCGCCAATCACAACATATGTAATGTTAGTGCCAAAGCGGGAGACTATACGTTCAAAACAGCTCTCTTTGCCTGGAGACAAACAAATGGCTTTCACAGGTTTTTCCTTAGTGGTCGGAATGGGAATTAAACACATCAAAAATCTGAGTTGTATGCATCAAGGTTGATACACACACACACTTTCAGATAAATATAATATCTGGTTGCCACAACATTTTTCCGACTGATGTCAGAGGTCACACCCCATGCTAACCTTTAGCCTTCCTTCTATACAGCGCTAATTGCATTTAGAGTAATTCCATATGCAAAGTATCCATGAGTCTACGTGATCCGGCGTTTGACCTGAAACACTTGTGTCCTAAACATCAGGCAGTTGTCATGGTTTCCACATTGCTACGTCCGTTTGAATCAAGGCGCCGTGGGGGTTGAACTGGGTGTAACATTAGCTCACAAGCACACACACTCACACACTTGGCTTTGAGTTTTGTTTCCTGGATGTTTTGGCTCTCTAACCCCATTTCTAATCCGAGTTGTTTTGTTTTCTTGATGTCGAGTGGTTGAATAGGATTTAGTGTTGGCCACAGTTGCGGTACACTGGCGTAACCAGTTGCGTTTTTTCCTGCTAACGGACTCCATTCAGAAAGTGGGCATCTGGCCTGGAAGATCCCACAAGTGTTGGAGATGTTCAAGAGCAGGACTTCATGTGATGTGACGATGGATTTGTTGTTTAGGTCAGTGTGAGCTGGAGTAAAAGGGCTGCAGTCAAACTAAGCATTCAGCCAGGGGATGATGTCATTATTAAGTGATTATACATCGGGGGTGTTGATAGGCACAATTATCTCCTTTTCATGGCGTAGAGTGGACAATCCATTACGGAAGACAAGGAGTTTATTGCGTCCATGAAATCCTTGCATCAGTAACATTTAATTCATCATACCATTCATTCATCAATAACATCCATTGTTGTCGTTTATTGTAAACTATGGAGTAAGGAAAAGACGGATGTAGGCCTAACCCTTCTTCATTCTATCAGTGAAAGTGATTCAAATAATACATTGTTGATAATCTTGAAATAAACCTTCTAAATCATTTTAATCGGAAGATGTATGGTCTAATGCTGGTCCAAAGAGTTAGCATTACTCACAGGTATTTTCAGTTTGGAATCACAAGCGCTATGTCACTTATGTTTAAATTGCGATTAATTGTAATTTGTATGAAATCATTAAATTCAAAGTACATGGAAATATGTGTAAATAATACAGTGTCACTGAGATAACCCATTCAAAGCACTGAAGACTTTCTAATTCATTTGTTTCAATGTGCAAGAGAAAACAATGTTAGTAGCCTAGCTGTGTAGTTATTGGTGTGCTTAAATATTGATTTTATGTATATATTGGAATTTTTAAACTTTGCTAAATACTATAATTGTACAGTTAATTGATAGCCTCTTGCTCTAAGTCAACGTCCTTGCTCCGACACACACCATATGAAATACAACAAACTATAACTCAAACAATCCTAACCAGCCGCTCAATGAACCTGAGCCCAACTAAAGCAATTATATCATAACAAGAAACAGGATATCTGGACCACATGGAGTAGATGAAGAAACATCAAAAATAATGGACAGAACAGAATGCATGTGACCTTTGAGCATTTAAATACAATACATCAAATATATAGTCAGCTACTATTTAGTTACTCCAATTCTACATTCAATTTATTTTCATCCTTATTGGATTATTACCTAGAAGTGAATGGAACGTGTGTGTGCACCAGTGTTTGTGTCTTACCTATTTTCGTTGCACTGTAAATGTTCTCCACGGGGAAAACAGATCCCAGACTATATAAGAGAACTTTAGCCAGCGCTGGTATGAGCTGCGTTGTGGTCACCATCACGTTTACACAGTTACTCCTGAGGGACACACAAACGGAGAGCAGACCGTGTAAAGCTGGGTCATGAGTAAATGTACTTTGATGCTGAATATGGATTAGTTCCCACGCTCTAAATCTTAACCTTTTAAATTAACAGAGAGAAGGATTAGAGCGATACAAGTCTGTGTGATGTGAAATATGTCACAAAATGGCACCTGGAGCTGATGATGGATAGCGACTTGAGTGCGTGGGTGAGCCAGGAGTCAGTCAGACCCTCCACCTCGGCTCTGAGCTGCAGCCAGGCGTCTCTTTTAGCGGGACCGAGCAGGCCTAAAACACAGCATGATATTCAGTAACCCCTCGCAGCTTTAAGCATCACACACACCGGTATAAAGCATCACACATGTATATAAATCAGGAAAGGTACAAACACAGTAAGCTAAGTCTATGGTCTACTTTAGTGTTAATACATCTCAGGAGGAAACACTGAATATATCCTTCATTAAACCCTAAAATTGGTCAAATAAAAATCATTATTTTATTAGGAATAAGCTAAATGTATAGTCCAACAGCAGCTTTGTTTTTGATCTCTGCTTTCATTAAACCCACATTTTAAAAACAGATATAAACACTTGTGCTTTTATAAACATAGACTGCAGCCTTTATCATATTTATGTACATGTACAGTTTGCAAATACTGTATGTCATGCCCACTAGTATATATTTAATACTTGTTTCCAGATCGTGGCTTCCCATTCCATGTTGAATCTCTGTTTTCTGTCTTTGAATAATCTTCCCTTGAATGCCTTTAGAGGAGGTTTCCTCAAATTCAGCTATACTATAAGATACATTAAAATGATTGTTTTATAATAATTTGGATACCCTGTTTATATATATATGTAGAAGCCGCATTTAAGTTTATTTTGTTTTGATTTATTTGGAACCTTTATTAATGCATTTTTCTGTTTCAGTGAGAGGTGCGCTTTGCTCAGGTGAAGGGGGCGGGGCTAAAGCTTTAAGTTGGAGGTGCGGTGTGTGACGGGAGGGCAGCAGGCAGCAGCAATACCGTCATTAACACGCAGACGCAACCTTATGTTTAGTAAAAGACGGATTATTAGGATCTGGTGTTTAAGTTTACGTTAAATATTGTTTTTGTATTTTGTTTGCTGGAAATAAACGTTGAAAAGCAACCAAAACGTCCAGTGGATTTTGTACTGCGAGTCTGACACTGCTTCCCAGCCCCAAGCTCTACATGTGGCCAAGAACAATAACTTTTGAGGTATCGAGTTACAAGACAAGCTTTTTGGGATTTTGGCCACTACAATATATATATGTATAACAAGGTATTCTCCCCCCCTCTCTATCAGCCTTTGGTCTGTCCCTCGTGTCCAGTATTCCCGTCAGATTGGCTTACCCCCCACATTGTTTTTGTACGAGCTATACAACTCTTTGACCCGTCGGTAGCGGAAGGCCAGTTTCCTCATCCAGTCGACCCCGCCGCGGACCCCCGTAGCCAGGCACAGGTTGGCGCTGGTTGCAGCTGCATGGAAGCCATCAGTTGCAAAACTGTAAGTACTGTCAATAATAATGATATGTTTTATTTGAAAAATCTCCTCTGGTAGAACAAATGGTTATTTTCAATATTCATATATGTCTTTTTAAGAATGCAATTCAGTACTACCTTTAAAATGCAAAGCAAAAATATAGGTGATTGTTATTTTTGATAAATGGATGTTACCATCATTAAAAAATGTAAAGAATAATAATAAAACAAATTCAATAACATCAACAGTGTTAACATCATACTTATTATTGTTTAAATAAATGTGAATTGTTGAATGCCTACCTTAAGTCCTGGCCATTGTCGTCTGATGACACGTCATCAATGTGTACCTGATCACACTCCTGTGCACACAAAGAACATATTATTAATTCCACGCAGGATAAATACAAAAACAGATGCTAAGCTAAGTGTCTAAAATAAACTAGTATGCTATATACATTATGAGAATTTGCTATTACAAATGAAGCATGAAAATATAAATGTAAAATGTACTAAATGCTATACATAGCAACCTAAATAGTAACTATAAACTGTGTGAAGACCAAACAATTCTTAATTAACCCTGTTTGAATACATGTTCTGGTCAACATGTATTAATCTATTTAACATACACCATTTTAACAGAACTAAAATTAGAAAATATAAACAAAGTGATGCCAAATATATAAAAAGCATGTTACACCACTTTACACCGCTAGGGGGCAGTAGTAGTTTTCAACTGAATGACAGCCGGGCTTCAAGAAACTGTCAGCTTTGTGCAAAATGGGAATACTGTACACAATTCCCAATCTTATGACACACCCTTAAAACTATTTAAAAGTGTGTTTTGCATGTGCCAGACTCACCTCCAGGTCATTAAAGAATAAGTGTGTGTCAGCCAAGTTGAAGATCATCTCTTCCATCCTCAGACCCAGCGTTACGGCCATAGGAGGGTCCTAAAGGAAGATAAAATCATCATTATCATCATGACATCCCCATTATGAACAATTATTGACAACCCATAATAGATTTAATTTTTCACACTCTTCCTAATATTTTTTTATTCACACCCCTGCCCCCATAACCCCCCACTTTTAAAGATGGTACGCTCCACTCATCACAGCAGATGCTGACAGACAGGTTGCACTTGTTCTGTCCCATCAACATTCCTCATGCTTGGTGGTGGTGGGGTGTTTGTGAGGGGAGGTGAGAGGAAGAGTGTGTGTCCTCATGTGTGTGTTGCAAGGAGCAAGCACCCTCAAAGAGAGAGATACTTGGAGTGTATTTGGTATGTGAATGGTTTGTGTGTGTGTATGTGTGGGCCCGGGGCTCAGCTGCAAAAACCATCATCTGTGATAGGTCAGCAAGGGACGACAGCTCGCCGCGCGATTCGCTGACGCCGTCAGAGGACCAGAATAGAAAGAAACTAACAGGAAGGAGAGTGAAAGTGAGCGAGCAGGCACCGAAAGTGTTCAGAGCTCTAAAAAACTTGACAGCTGCTAATAGTGATAATAGGTATTTCTTGTCCCTCTTACCTGTCAATCACAGAGACAAGAGGCACTTACGTTTGTCTCTCAGGTAATTATTACGTTGGCTGTCAGCCAGAGATACGTTACTAACATCAGTGTGTCGAAACACTCACTGCTCAAATGTGTTTATTCGTTTTGAGCAGTTCATTTTGGATATTGCTTTGGGCTCCAGAAAGGCTGAGTTGGCTTTTTCTTTGTAGTATTTTGCCAGAAAATTTCAATCAATCACAGAGAATAGCAAATATTACTTTGGCCTGGCAAAGGTAGCCTGGAACAATTCCACTCTCTCCCTCCGCTGTTATTATTTGAGCGGTGAAAACTCAACACTTCATGATGATGTGAACATTATCACTGATTATAATAACTTTATGAACACGAATATTTATTAAAAATTGAAACATCTTTTAAAGCAGTTATACTCCCAGAGCCCGTGAGAAGGGTGCTCAGGGCTAGTGGTTGCTATGTCAACAGTGTAAACACTATTTTGGGCGAGGTGTGAACAGACACAGCTGCCACTAAGTTTCTCGAGGGCAGCCGCAGCAAATTAGGTGAAAACATATTCTTTCTTTTGCATTAATTTGGATACAAAAACATAATTCATTATCAGAAGTTACATGCAACTTTATTTGAGCCATTGAAAAACATTTAATTTAATATTTGAAAATGCTTTTGTATTTAAGCCAAGATTTAAATTGTGATATATTTTGGTATTCAGTATTTCTCTATGATAAAAACACAGCAAACTAAGTTGAATTAATTTCAAGACCATGTGTGTTCTCCTTCTCATTCACATGCAAACTTGTACAAGTCCCAAGCCTCTCTTTTATCCATTCAATCTCAATTGCCCAACATTAAATTCCACGACACGGATCCAACTCGGAAGTACATCACTGCCCACAAACCCTTATCTGTAAAATGCCTGGGCTTATATGAGTCTATGCGGGTCTGGCTCTAAATGGTATTTGTGCGGCGCCAGCTTTTGTTTGAGTGCCAAACTATATCAGAATGGACTGCAGGCTCAGAGTGGTACGCGAAACCCGTACAGGCAAGGCTGGTGGCTTACGCTGGTGCCCACAGGAAACGACGTCACCCAATAAAAAGATCTGTAGCCTAGGCCACATAGGATGAGCCGGATCAGAGCCAAGAACTATTAAAATATAGGGAACTATAAACAGTGTAGCTGGGAGGTGAGAGGGCGAGACCACCAAATAAGCTCAAAATAAAGATTGGAATAACATCAGTCCAAGTCAATTATAAGCATTGAGCTAATGTAAGCAAAGGCAATTATCAATGGCTTTTAAATGTATTTATAATATGATATGCATTTTTACATATTGTATTATATGTGGTAATGATCCTAAATTGATCATAACACTCTGTAGTACGCCTGAGGAGAATTACGCTTATTCGAATGGTGTGCTCATTGTGAGTTGCATTTTACAAGAGACTACATAGAGAAACATTTAGCTATGAAAATAGTCCCCACAAAAGTAGGTGAGGTTTGGATTCAGAGGCGTATTAACAATTCACTATCCCTACTTAAAATCACATTTATGTATTATTATTACCATTTTAAAATATAACTTTTTCCTGATCTTTTTCAATAAATTATTTAGATTTCTTTTTTTTAAACTATTCCTGAAAAGTTGTATATTGCCCCAACAACCTGCACAAACCACAGGGCCTGGTTAAGCCTGTATGTAGCCTGTAAGGCAAAGTGCGGGGCAGAGAAAGTCCACAGCACTGACTGCAGGATTACTTGTAAAGGGTATTCCTCTGAGCTCACAGTAATAACTGTAGGCAAGGCAGAAGAGGGTATCAACAATATTATCAACTCCTGCCCGTCTTATTAGGATTCCGGCAGCTGGACAGTCAGAGTTTACTGTTTAGAAGTGAGCAAAATAAACTAAAACTGTAAAAATAATGGGGACATGTCTGCTTCTATTAAAAGTGAGAACAATGCCGTTTTAAGTGCTTTCTTGGGTCGAAGTTCAACAGTAGAGCAGATGTAGCCTTTCTCCAAGGGTTTTGGTTATTGATCCTCCATTGTGATATTTGTTTAAGCATCTGAGGCAAAATGATGCATAGTTTAATCAAAATCTTTGGCAAAGAGAAATAAAATAGACTGCAGGATCTTACCTTGCCATATTTCTGTGCGTAGGAGCCTGTGAGCAGAGAGTGGAAGACGATGATTGTCTCGTCCAGATCCCACACGAACACCCTCTGGAGAACAAAAAAAGTGACACAGTGAGATGTCCATCCGTTAAGCACATATGTAATTTTATTTTCAACTGGGTTAAGTGGGTGGTCCGGCTCTCTATCAGCCTCTCTGTTGTTCTGAGATTTCAATGCGCAGAGAGGATGTTGATCAAAGGGAATAGCACATTTCCACTGAGATTTTATGGATTATTAAGTCAGAACTGTAAGCGCTTAGAGTCAACTGAGTGTTTTCTTCGCTCCCTTACCTCCAGGTCACTATCAGGGGGAGGGGAGGGGTTGTTCTTGCGGCCCCTTCCCCGGGACTTGGACCCCCCACTCCGGCAGGCTCGGTCATCCAGCTCTTTGATGGGCGTGGAGGGGCTCTGCACTGTATCAAAGTCCCCTGAGAGTGTAGGCAAACACAGGCAGGGCTAAACATTTTAAACATTGAAAATGTACAAATGATCAAATGTCCGTCCCAAACGATCAGAAAAATATTTTCAACGCATTAAAGCAACAGTAATGATGTGGTTTTGGGCTGATCCCTCAGGTGTTCTGGGGTATCAACTTCAGGAAGAGCGATAACTCAGACTTGGTACAGTAATAAGCCATCTTGTCAGGTTTAATAATTCAACGTAATTGGCACAACAGATCAACTTAAAGACTACCAATGAACCGTAAAAAAAAGTGCCATTGGTATTCTGACTGATTCATGGTAGCATGAAATGTAAAGATTAAACATAGGGCGGGAGCGATGGAGCTGTGCAATAAATTAGAAAAAGTTAGGTAATCTGATGCAAAGATACAAAATTCTGCAGGAGCACATTATGAGTGGACACACATTCTTGAGCGCACACACACACACACACACACACACACACACACACACACACACACACACACACACACACACACACACACACACACACACACACACACACACACACACACACACACACACACACACACACACACACACACACACACACACACACACACACACACACACACACACACACACACACACACACACTCCTAATGCCATATGCTCCCACTGCTGTGTGGTAACTAGAACCAGACTCTAAGCTTCAGCTCTCATATTGTTATGTCTCAATCAGGGTGAGAGGGAGAGACCAAGAGAGAGGGGGTGGGTAGATACACAAAGAGACACAAAGAGCATGTGAGCGACAAAAACAGAACACAAATGCAAACTGTAACTCCAACAAGAGAGAAAAGAGGAACAGCGAGAAAAGTGGGGAAAGTGCCAGTGACAGGAAGAATGATAAGCTCCTTTAATCAGGCTTTCTGAGGAACAGCCAAGACAAACCACAGGAATTATGTGCAAAAAATATAATAGAACACCAAGTCATATTTCTGTACATATGGGTTAACTTCTTTTCTCTTTCTCTACAAAAGTGCAATATTTAACATAACTTAACTCTAATCAAATCTCAGAGGCTAATGTAAACATATGTGGATCCTCCAATTAGAGAGTGCAATGCTAGGTAACTATGGCTACAGTCTGAAGTTACTTCCTGTGCTTCATCATGGGTGAAAGAGTTTGAACTCAGCTAATCAAACTGTGGTATTTTTCCTAAAAAAAACAAGATCATGGAGCCAGCATCAAGAAACTGAGAGATTTAACATTTGTTTGCATATTTATGACTTAGGAAGAACTCTGGTGGAGTGTTTTCATTCTTTTGAATACAAACCTGGGTGAAGTTCAGCAGCCTGTCCGGTCATGGCAGGAGCGGGGTCCTGCAGCTGGTAGGCCGCCGTGGAGCCTGTGCCGTCCACGCTGTTGGAGCTCATATAAGTCCCGTAAGTGGAGGCGGAATAATACTGGGCGTACTGGTTTTGGCCAAACGTCGTATATGAGGGATAATCCTGCGGGGAATAACACGATACATGAGCACAAAGGGTGCGAAGACAAAAAGAACAAAACAATAAGAAACTACAGGAAGAGGTTTCTGGGGAGGTTCAAACTGACTTTTGAAGAGAGACTTTACAAGTGCTCGTTCTCATTTCTCAAATCTTTTATTCCCTCGGTTCTGTAGTTTATATCTCCAAAACAATTAAAGCCTTGTGTTGCTGCTTTTTACTGACCCAGTGGAGATGGGCGCTTTTACGAGTCAGCTCTCTAAACCTGTCACTACGTCCATCTCGACGAATCGTTATAAAGTGGAGCATACCACATGAATGCATACACACACCAACACACACACACACACACACATACATACAATTGATGCGTGTACGCAAGCATGCACATCCACACTGTATACACCCTTTACGTCCCTTACTCATATACACAAAGACACACACTGAAACACACACACACACACACACACACACACACACACACACACACACACACACACACACACACACACACACACACACACACACACACACACACACACACACACACACACACACACACACACACACACACACACACACACACACACACACACACACACACACACACACACACACACACACACACACTATATTCCCCTCAATCCACCCACACAAGCCAAACCTTGACTTTCTTCCCATAAACAGCCACATCTATCATAGTGGAACATTGAAATTCCCCTTGAAGCATTTTACTACCTCCATATAATTCATCAAATAGACATAAAGAAATATCCAGAACAAAGCACTCCTTCACAAAGACTAATTGTCCGTTTCACTCATAAGTTTGTTCCTGTTGCGGGGTCACAATGTAATTCGATTTTTATTTCGTGAGGTAAGCAAAGTTCTGCAGGTTAGTGACTGTAATATCACTTCGGGTCCACTTTTTGTTACTGCACCATGCAATATCCTCATCTTTAGTTTTAGCCAGCAGCATAATTGCGAAAATGGCCTTCACTTGACCAAACTTGTAGTGTGGTTAATTCAAGCTGGCAAGAACTCCTTTAGGAAATGTATTTTTGGGCTTGGGAAAATGTTTTTTACTCAAGCTAACTTACAGCTGGACGGTCCAGTTTAAACCAAACTTTGGAAAAAAGCCTTAGCTAAATGAAATGTCATGTAAACGTCAAGCCTGCACGTCACACACAGTATATAAACACAAAGGTACCTGCTGTGTGGCAGTATAGTTGGCGGGGTTGGACACTGAGTTGTTGGTGGCGTAGAGGCCTGAGGAAGGAGTGAAACTGGAACCTTGGAACAAAAAGGAGAAGATGGACTTATACAGAGAGAATGAAAAATAAAATGGAATCACGCACAAAGTTATAGCATTAAAATGATGAACTACTGATGATGTGTGATTTATTTAAAACTGTAGGAGTGCGTTATTAACTTGTGGCAGGAGAGAAAGGTGAGCCATTAAAGGTATTTGATAGTGTACGTCTCAGACTGACCTGGCATCTGATAGGGTGAGTATGCAGTCTGTCCGGGCTGAGGGGTGGTGAAGCCGGGGCTGTAGCTGAGGCCGGTCTGCAGAGGAGACTGACTCTGAGCCAGGCCGCTCTCCGTCTTAATGCCCGGCAGCATAACACCCAGGTCTGGGACAACAACAACAAAAGGACTATTATACAATGTAGTGCAATTTTACAGCAGCAGTCAACTGTTCTGTTAAAACTGAAATGCTAACAGAATTTATTTTCTTGAAACCTTAAATGGTATGCCATCATCAATGTTTGAATAATCTTGTCTTTCTGGCTTTACTTGTATTTAGTTCAATTTGTGTCAATCTTTGATTTGGATATCCCTTTTTTCATGCTTATAATGGTGAAAATATAGAATTTCTCACTGAAAAATAAATGGTAATTATTAATTTGGCACCCATAACTTACATATATAGCATGCTAATTTTGTAGCTACAATAGTTAATCAAAAAGACAAGAGAAAATGTATCTCATTTTAAATGTTTGTTTGCCATCTCCATTGTGTGTTTTTTCTATGTATTGCAGAACCTGTAGTTTAATTTGTAAAACATATTTGTAGAGTAAGACTTCTTCAGCTTTTGTCATCAATCTGCTCCTAACAGTTGTTTGTTATTGTATGTCACTCTTTGTCTTTTTAAAATGTTTTTCTTGGTACCATAGGAGGACAGTCCGTATGCCTGTCCTGTCTGGGAGTAGGCGGTGTAGACGGTGGACTGCTGCATGCTGCTGAACTGCGGTTGACCGGCGTACGTGGGCATGGGGGGGGCCGCCGGTGTGGAGAGAATGTGAGGGTAGGGCCTGGAAAAGGAGAGGAACAACAGGTAATGTAGATACAAAAACAATGTTGTCAGAATGGGACAATACAATTGAAGAATACGAGACATGCTGATAATCATTTTTAGAAACCAGCTTCTGTCACACTTACTTTGATGGGTATAGAGGAGGGGAGTACTGATGAGCTGAACGAGGGCTGTATCCGCTGCTGGTGATTACTAAAAACAGCACAATAATAAAAAACAACAAGGCAACACGAGGTTACGGATGGTGTCGACGTAAATCATCTGTTTCCTTTCACGTTCAACAAAACCACTCCTGAATAGCACAATTCAAGGCCTCGGGCTTGCTTGAATTGAAATGCTTTTCCAGTAAACATAATTTGAAGCATTTCCAATGGAGAGGGGCCAAGTCTTCCCCCTTCAGAGAGCACTGTACATGAAACCCTTACTGGGGGCCTCAAAGTCAAACACAATGTGTGTTTGTGGTCATTGAGATGTCAGAGCTCAATACTGACAAACACCCCGCTGCTTCTAAACCCTCACTGTGCGTTGCTTAATGGTTTTGTGTCTCAGTGTGTGCGTGTTTTGCAGAGTGAAGGAGCACGGGGTCGTGTGTGAGTCTAAAAAAAAAGACAAGTGTAAAAATGTCTCTCGCTCTCTCTCATCCCTCTGCCAGCCTTTGATGACGCAATCCAAGGACAGGCAATACTTCACGGGATTAAAGCTTTCAGCAGGCCCACCGCGGAGCAGAAATGGATGACGGTGTCTGTGTGTGTGTGAGAAAACAGACTAATATAGAGCTGACAGAGACGTGAGTTTGTTTTTTTCCTTTTCAATGAGGAAATAGTACATGAGTGCATTTCTTAGAGAGATGTGTGTGTTACCTGAGCCTGCGTATGTGTCCAGTGCGGTGTCGCCTGTCGTAGTGACTGTATCGCTGTTGTTCATAGGCTCTGTTTTCACTTAAGGAAGACGGAAAATATCAGTGTTAGGGGAGGCCAGTAAGGAAGTTCTGTCGCGCACTCACAAACACACATACAAAAAAAACTACCATGCAGTTCCAGTATGGGAGTGAGTGTCGTGTGCAGGGCTCCCACTATCATTGATTTTTGATTTTTGTAAAGCTTTGTGTTTTTGACCGTTTTGTCAAAATCCACTGATATTAACTTTCTTTCCCAGCCGATTCATCAAATTCTCCAACTTTTCATAAATGTGTTGACTGGTCGGAACCCTGCAACTGTATAACAACTCCACACACACACTGTGAAAAACCCAATGGGATCCAGAGAGCAGGGAACACTGCACAGCAAGAAAAAAGAAAGAAAATCACTGCAATTCTGGCACACAAAACGTCAGATCTAGGACCAGCCTAAACTATAGGAACCCATTCTTTTTTGTATTTAAGGGATAATACTGTATGACCTCTGGCCTTAGATTCACACACATGCACCTCTGTACCATAGTCCTTGGAGCCCGGGGCAGGGGGCGGGCTGCTGCAGCCCAACAGCCAATCAGCCGTGTTTAGAACTGTCATGTTTTCACCTAAAAGGGTGCAAGGTGGGAAGGTGGTGAGGATAAGATGCACTGAGAACCAGGAGCCAGTCTCAGGTATATGGGACATGGTGTTGATGAACTTAAAAGGTAGACAATTTTATCATTATTCATATTTAATACTTCAACATTTTGGGAAACATGCTTATTTGCTTTCTTGTCCAGAGTTCTATGAGACTATGAATACCAATCTCATGTCTGTAAACTAAATAAGAAGCTAATGTGAGATATTTATTTGCTTTACTTAGTTTAAATATGGAGGCAGAGGGAAAAAGTGTGGGAATGTATATATCTTCTGCCTACTGGCACCTCTGATGTACCTCATCATAATGATGTTAACAGGCAACCAGTAAAAAACTACAATAAGCCTGACGAAGAAATGTAACTTCTTTTTTAAGCTTTAGTTTTGGTACAGATTAAACAAACACAATATTCTGAGCTAAACCATGTTAGCTGTTCCCCTGTTTTCAGGTCATTGTTTTGGGCCGACAAACCAAAATAATGACGAACTACAATTACGTGTATTGATGAGGGGAACAGCAGAGTTGAATAATAATTATCTCTTGGTTTGTCACTATGACATACAGCTTTCACATACAAAAAGTCATGTGATCCATCACAAATGTGAATGTATTGATAATAAACGCCTTAAGATATGAGAGTGGTACTGTATCTTCTTATTTTACTCTTGGCACAGCAATAAAGCTTTTTCCCAAACTACAAAAAAAGAAGCACACCTGTGAACCACCTTAAAATCCTCCATGCCGTTTTATTAGGTGACTTTTCTTGTTTCTCTCTGAACATGATTCAAACTCATCATCAGTGAACATCTGAGAACTCCATTTAGATCAGGGGAACTTCATTAATCCCCTCTGGGAGCAATACAAGCCATCGGACAAGCCCTAATGAAGACAAATGAGTTGCTATGGAGACGGCCAACGGGCCGGGGCTCTGGCTGATGTCAGGTGAGGGGAATGTTGGGTATGTAGTTTGTTTTGGCTGTGAGTGTGTAGTCCTGGTTTTGTCTGCTAAAACCATTAACTGTGAGCTCATCAAAAATGATTTAATGTGCTAATATGGTCTAAATGCACGATTAAGTCTCAGTATGACTTTGTCTGTGTGTGATGACACATGAAGTTGACTAAAATGTAGTATCTCACTTTTTCCATTACATTAGTTTCCATTGCCTGTTAAAATTAGCAATAGATCAAAGGATCGCCCTCAACAAAAGCACTTACATCCATTGCTATTACATCAAACTGCCTTGTCAAAAAAATTACAGACAGACACTGAGAGAGGAGGAGATCAAGGGTGACTGTAGAAAAGATGAGAAGAAGGAAAGAGAAACACAGACGGATAGAAGAAAAGAAAAGGAAGAAAAAGAAAGTGGAAGACAGAGAGGAGAGCGCTCACTGGTGTTGACATCTACGAGAGCTGTGATGCTTTAATGCTCTTGTAGAGTGAATAGTTTCCAATGGGATTTTGGGCTTGAACAGACAAAAACACACACATACACACACTTTGCTAAGCGGCCAGTGGAGGAGAGCAGACGTGCTTCACCGCGTGTTTACACACATCCTCCAGTGGTTTACTCAAGTCCTCCTGCCAGCGCAGGATGTGTGTGTGTATGTGTGTGTTTGCATGTGTACGTCTCTTTCCGTCCCTATACATTCCTCAAAAAGTACTTATCTCTGCATGTTGAAAGTTTTTCTGACTGATGATTTTGCAATATATTTCATTACATTACATTACACTCATCAGTGTTTTTGCCCAAAGTAATTTACAATATGCACTTTCAACCTCTGCTGTAGCAGGAGCAAAATGTCATAAAACAACTGGAAGTGCATCTCTTCTGGGAAAACAAAAAACAGAATGTATAGTGGAAGTGCTTCCTTCAACTTAATATATGTTCTTATTTTGTTTAAAAATCAGGACATCAATTAATGTTACCATGACATGTCGAGCCCTAATCTGAAACAGCCGGCTTTCACTGTGACTCTGACTTCAAAGAGTGAAGTTGACTGGTCTTCATTTCAGATGAAAACATAGATGGAACAAAGAAGCCCTTAAAGGGATTATATTCAACATTTTAGGCAATTTGCCTATTTGTGCTATTGCCGAAGTTAAGATGAGAAGATTGATTTAACGAAGCTACAGCCATCAGAAAGTTAGCTTAACTCGAAAAGGCTAGCTGGGCTCTGTCCAGGGGTAACTAGATTCACCTACCAACAAATGTTTAAGCTAACTAATTGACATGTTATCTCTTGTTTAATCTTCTTTTTAAAGGGTTTTTGTCACCTATGGACAGACCAGAGCTGTTATCACTAATTATATTCTTTGTGCTAAGCTAATGTAATAGGCTAATGGCGAAGAGCCTCAAATTATTTTGGTATTATCTTCTCACTTATTCGTGACCAGAAGTGTACATCCCGAAATGTGAAATTAAGTACTTAAACAGCACATTTTGTCTTCCTAAAGCTTAGAAGTCTAAATAATACCTGAATACACATTGAAAACAGATTCGACTTATAAAAGATGCTCAAGACCATGTATAGCAACAACACTAAAACGAACCTTTCTACCATTTCAAACACAAATACCCATTCATTACTGCAACACCATACACTCTTGGCCTTCTCACCTCCTGTTCCATTGGTTGTGATGGAGGGGCTGCCAAGGTTGTTCTTGTCCAGCTTGGAGCCCGTCGAATCTCCACCTCCCACACGGTTATGAGGACTGGCTAGGTCCTGCATTTCCATAGACCTGGGAGGAAGAGGTGGGGGGGGGAGAAAAATAAAGATGAACTGTGATTTTTGAATGAATAACAGATCAACAGCAATATGCTCTCACAGCTGGGAATCTCCCACCTCTATATATCACGTTGAGATTTCGCTGAACACATTCAATGACATACTGCACACACACTAAAGTCATAAACGTTATGCTTCTCCGTACCAGTTAGCTTACATGAGCATGTGTTCAGAGGCGCTAGACATTGTCTGCGGGCCTGCTGGCTCTTTTATGGAGTGTGTGTGTATGTGTGTGTGCACTTTCTGGGCTCCAATACAAACCCACAGCCTGCCAGCGTGCTTTGGTTTTACAATGTGTTCCACATGCATGAGTGGGACAAACCAGTGCACAAGGTGGTAGTGGTAAAGTGAGAGTGTGTGTGTGTGGAAGTAAATAGAGACATGAGGAGAATGAAGATGAACATTTGTGGTGGAGCAGAGGTCTGACTTCAATATTTAGTATTTATTTGAATTCCTATTAGTTATTACCACGGCAACTACCACTCATCTCAGGGTTCATAACCCCCATTGAGAGGTGTAAGTGTTTTTAATAAACTTCTATGCATGAAGACTGCAAGAAAAGCAACATTAAACACTCGCTCATGACTCTTCATCACTGTGGCCACAAACCGACATTTTGACATGTCCTTTGGTGGTGGACATAGTTTAACGTTGAGTCAGTGTGTGTGTTTGGACAGTACTTCTTATGAACGTGTGTAATCATGTGTGTGTGAGCCCTGACTCACGCCGCCCGCAGGCTGGTCACACTTGTGCTTTTGTGTGGGACATCAAAGAGAGAAATGACAGAGATGGAGGGAGAATTAAACAAATGCGGGTTGCCGTTCTACCACTGTGTGTGTGTGTACTAAAAGAGAGTGTGTACAATACATCTGTGGTTTGGAAGCTGGCCATCCCAATGCTATGGGCAGATAGCATTGTCACACATGACTGCAGCCCATGACTGACAGGTATAAACATAGAGCTTTCAGCACGGAGGAAGACACAGCTACAGGGCGCAAAAGAGAAACCGTACAAAAGATAAACACTCCAAATCAACTCTCTTTGACAACTGTTTTGTTTGTATTTACAGCTTAACATCCAATCTGCTCTCATGTGCAGCTTGAATTAAAATCATTTATATAAAATCAACAAGGTCTTATTGTGGATAAGATATTAAACCAAGCCCAAACTTCAATTGAAAGCCTCAAATATCTCTGCTATAATACACGGCAATAACAGTTAAGATCTTTCACAGATTGTGTTTTTTGTTCTCTCTCTCTCTCTCTCTCTCTCTCTCTCTCTTTTCTCCTGTGTGCTTCAACACTCTTCATCCATCCTTTTTTTGTGTCTCTCAACAGCAGGAAATGATTCTGTCTCCCCTTCTTGTTTTTTTTTTCTTCTCTCCATTTCGCTCCTCTCGGGAGGCGATGGCAGGAGTTGGTGTTTCATAAACTCATTTCTGGTTTTCACATTATGTCTGGTCATTGAAAAAACACGCTGCATCCTGATGCAATGCAGAATGTACGATGTATTGTGTAAAATGAATAGTTTGAGACAATCTACCAACACCTTTGTTCGGTATTGATTCATATGGTAATGTTTTTCTTAATAGTTTATTTAACTTCTGACTCAAATGACTTGCCTTTTCTGTGAACAAAACCAGAGATTTTATCATTATAAAATACCTAACAAAAAAGTAGGATATCTTCCCCTTTAGCAGCTGGAAGCAGAGAATATTTTGTACTTTCGCAGTATTTTTGTTATTTATTATTTTTGCTTGAAAAATGACAAAAAGGATAAATTGGTTATCAAAATAGCTTTTAAAATGTTTTTATGTCGATCAATCAACTAAATCAACTAAATGAATTACAGTCTACAGCTTGCTTGTGTTTTGATTGGATCAGAACATATTTTTCTGTGTGTGTGTGTGTGTGTGTGTGTGTGTGTGTGTGTGTGTGTGTGTGTGTGTGTGTGTGTGTGTGTGTGTGTGTGTGTGTGTGTGTGTGTGTGTGTCAGACACTGAGGTCTTGGGAAAGTGTTGATGACATCATCATAACTCGCAACTGCAGTGAAACCTCACCTCTCTGCACCATGACGAGAGAACTAGGACACACACATAGAGTTCTGAAAGACCTCACGCTGTTTGTTATATTATACAGTCAGACATATGTGAGCGTACCTGGCGTCGGAGGGGTCTGGAACATGAGATTCACTGTGTGATTTCTTCACCTGCAGAGAAACCAGAGCAGAGGAAATGTTAACTCACCACATATATTATATTAGTGTCATAAACCAGCCTCATAAACCAGTGTTTATGAATCAGACAGATATCTGTTGTGAATAACAACAAAATAGATTCCCCCCTTCACTTCTTAGAAGAAACTAAGATGACAGAGAAAATTCAAATGTAATGTTTCTGCAAATTTAACAGAATATTGCGACAAAATGCATTGACTTTTTGTTGTGTTATTTATTAAATGTTTCTGAAATGCAGAATTTATATTAAACCAGAACTGGTGTCTGTAGTTGTAGCCACCGCCGTGACAGAAGTGCTAACTGGCGTCTAAGTGACAGATATTAACTTTCCCTTGTTCACCCGTGACCCTGCTCCATCCGGAGCTCAAGCCCCTTCTTCAACCCTTAAAGAGTTGAAAGGTCACGCCAGGGTCATGTTAGGTCACAGGGTTCACTCTTCACCTTAAGACGTGTCACGGTAGACACTAAATCGAGCCTTGACTTTGGTTGGGGTAACCGTCACATTTGGTCGTGTCAATCACTGTAAGCTGGAACTTTTCCTTCATCGTTGAAAAAAAAAAAGTTAGAAAACACACTTCAGCCTCCGTGGCTTTCCACCGCAGCATACACTCACTGCGCTCACACACAGGCCGGCTTCATGTGCGTCGCTGTGTGTGAGGCTATGCGGCACTAGACGACAGACCAGCGGTTCTCTATTAAAATTCCTCTCTCTTATTTGGAACAGGAACTAATTAGAACAGTAAATGCAGGGCGGAGCGAGGGCCAATGTGTACCAGCTGCCCTATAATCACTGTGTCAACACACTGTCGAGGTGTAGGGCACGCGCGAGGTGCCAAACACACACACATCTGCACCCGCACATGGAAATGCCCATACAAACGCACACACACATGGTGAAATTCACCCAGGCAGCATATATTCAAGCCATTTGCACATTATCGCAATCACAGGTAAGTATACAGAGAAAGTGCTTGGCCAAGCAGACACTAAACTCCAGGTATTTGGAAAATAGGACATTTCTGTCTGCATGTGTGTCTCTATGTGTGTCTCTATGTGTGTGTGTGTGCGTGTGCGTGTGTGTGTGTGTATGTGTGTGTGTGTCAATTTTTGTTTGAGTTGTGGTGTTATGGTTTTGATTAGAGGATCCTGCTGAGAGCGAATAAGAAGCAGCACTTAGCTGTTTAAGACAGGGTTCAAAGGTTAGCCGGTGCCCTCATATGGATCACTTTCATACGCACACACACACGCACACGCACACACACACACACACACACACACACACACACACACACACACACACACACACACACACACACACACACACACACACACACACACACACACACACACACACACACACACACACACACACACGGCACTTTAATGTCACGTTTCATGCTTTACTGAAATTTAACAAGGCTGTCAGTCACGACATCAACATCACGTCCGTGAGAAACTGCAATCCACATGTTACGCAGACGCCGGGCTACGTACAAACGAAGGAGCGCACAAAGCCTGCACACACACACACACACACACACACACACACACACACACACAACCCTGGCTGTTTCTGTCTCAACATGATCTGTGAAAACACAGGCACACGAGGGCTTTGATCCCGAAAAGCTTTTATCATTGTGCTTTATCCATTGCACACTTTCTCTCCGAGCCCACCTTTCTGATTCTCTCACATCTCTCATTGTTTTTATCTAAAACTCCGTATTTAGAAAATTGTATATATTTGTTCTTTATCTTTTTTAAATATGAGAAGGACATATGACCGTGCTGAACATGTTTTTTTTCTGCTATGTTCTACTTTTTTTTATTACTGATTTTAAAAGTCATAAATATAAATGATGATCCAATCAAAACCCATTGAAACAAGTGTTTTGCCAAATTCTTACAATATTAAAGCTACAAATATATTCACGCTTACAGCATGCAGATATTTTGCGTCATTCTTGCTCTTTCCTTTTTTTGCAGTAAAGCATGGACAATTTCATCTCTAACAACAAAACAGAGGGCCTGTAAGCGTCCTGTGGACACGATGCCTGAAGGACCCATATGTGTCATCCGAGCCATTTAAATAGGCGACCTTTGACCTGGTTGGCCGGGTGACCGGTCTGCAACACAACCTGGCCAGCCTGGAGACTCCCTTAGGGATGAATACAGGTACCCCAGGTAATTAGCCCTAATAACAATGGTTTATTTAAGAGAATTAAACATAGCTATGTTTGTGTTGGTACTTACTTATCATCATCATCATCATCATCATTATCTAATGGCTGTAATGATACCATGATACCCTAATTTGACCCCAAAGGGCAGTAATAAGAAACAGTAGGTGTTATCAGAAATAAGCAGAAGCAGTCCTAGTTCTGGTCCTAGATTTGTTTCCTTGTATTGTTCCCCACACACTGAAACACACACACACACACACACACACACACACACACACACACACACACACACACACACACACACACACACACACACACACACACACACACACACACACACACACACACACACACACACACACACACACACACACACACACACACACACACACACACACACACACACACACACACACACACACACACACACACACACACACACACAATTTGTTTTTTAACAAGCTCACTGAAAGGCCAAACATTATACATAAACAGCACATCGTCAAGGTGTGTGTTATTGTTCCTGACAAACTGTGAAAACACAGTGCAGGAAGAGAAAAGGGGTAGAGATGGAGAGAGAAAGAAGAATAGCGCTATGTGTTTCTGGTAACAACCCAACCCATCTGCAATGGGTCATCCGATATCATGCACAGAGTTTGCGCACACACGCACACATACGTTTAAAAAAAAATCTGTTGTTGTTACGCTTGTGTAGAAGGAACATTTAGATTAATATCAAAATTAAAAAAGTGTTTTTCGTCAAATAATATATTTGCTGTGATTGCAGTAATTCCACTTCAAAATGTCGTAATTGAAATAAAAAAATGCAATAATATAATACATAAAAAATAAAAAAAACAATAGTAAAAATGGTTCTGAAATCCTAATGACTTTTTTTTTATCGGGTAGTTTTATATATTACATTAAAATGTTGATGATTTCAGATCTAAGAATATTTATTAATGACAATTCTGAAACAGCATCTAAAACAAATACCTTGTCCATTTACATAGAAAATAATTTAGAAACAACGTATTTAGTTAAAAAAAAAATTAAATATACTTTGTCGATTCAAACAGTAAACTAAATTATATATAAATTACCTTAAATATTACTTTAAAACATCGCTGCTGTCACCATAACCTACTAACCTTTCCTTACTTGTTTCTTCCTGAACATTGCACCCGCTCAGCCAAATGAAATATTTAATAGCATTTCCAATCGTTTCTTATACAGAAGCATTTATATACCGACTAGATTAATATACAAAATAATTGCTTGATAAAATAACCTATAACATTAGTTTGAGCATGAAACACACACTGACACACACACACAGAGTTAGAGGTGCATTCTTACCTCAGGGTGTAATCAGGTCACTTAGCAGTCCTATACTTCCACAAAGCATTACAGAGCTGTACGATCCACTGGCTTCCCCTCACACACAGGCTGCTTTCACACACAAACAGAAGCATACACACTTCTCCAAACACACTTCAGCTCAGCTCTATCTACCTGCCTCTCCCTTTGTACTCCAGGTGTCACGTTATTCTTGTTTTTTGCTCTAAAGGAGAAACCCGGAGTCTTCTTCTCTTAATCTGTGAAAAAGACACTTATATTCGCTTCTCTCCCTCTATCTATCTTTCTTTAAGGTCATCCATGCACCGCTCCTGTCTTCCTCAACTCCAATAATGGGGAACATTTCACTCGTCCCGTTTCTCTCCTCCTCTGCCTCCTCCCCCTATTTTTCTCTTCCCCTCCTCCCCCTCGTTCCTCTCTCTCTCGCCTGTCACTCACTACAGACTCTTACATTAAAGCCCAAGAAGTTCTTTAAATGTAACAGATGTAGATTTTCTAGACCCAAATAAACCAAATTCCACATTGTAAGCAGCCCGTGTATGAAAATATATCATAACAGAAATAGGTCGGTGCCCCTAAAATTAAAAACATCCGTGTGTGTGACCTAAATCCCACTGATGGTAGCTCTAGCGTGATGACTTCCACGAAGCTAAGATGGTAAATGGAGACGTGGTGTAGATGTAATGTCTTGCTGTGCAGTAGAAAGTACAGGCCAGACCATAAACTTCACACCATGCAATTGACCCCCCCCCCACTTCTTTCACACACACACACCCTCCACCATTTCACCCACACCACACAGAGACTCACATGTACACCTGAGCACACGGACACACACACATTCAATCTGTGTTAATTGGAACCACACGGGCTGCACGTGTGCGTCATATGTGAAGAGCTGAGCTGGAGGCATGGGTGGGGGTCTATATACGAGGTAGATTCCCAGCTGCCTCAGTCTGAAGATGGCACTCTTTCACTATGGTGGTCAAGGTGTTGTCAGGGGAGACACATGCCCAAACACACAACCGCGCATCCCACACACACAAAAATACAAACGCTTAAATCAGGTTTCATTCAGCATTTGAGTAATCTCGTCCAAAATAACATCGTACTAAAATTCCTTGCACTACAAAAAATGTAAAGGGCCATATTTAGTCTCTTATCTCGAATATTATCCAATCCAAGTTATTCGATTTCTGCTTTAAACTTGTCTTTATAGAGAGTCAGTTTACTTTGGAAAACTGTCTAAATATAAAAACATTTGATTGTGTGATAATAGGCCTAATAACACTAATCTGGCAGAATGAGTCTGTTTTTTAAGAAGGGATTAGAAATGTTCAATGTTGTTATTTAGAATATAACATATATTATAAATCAAAACAATATTTTGGTCAAGTAAGATTCGGTTGATCATACTGCTTTTACGGACCA